AAGACAGGGGGAAAATTATATTTTCTCCCTTAAGCCCTCTCTGTGTCCTCTTCAAGGACTCCAGTCCTGTCACGCTGAGAGGGGGCTCTGGATCCTTGCTCAGCACCTTAGCTGTTGACCAAAGCCTCCGGCTGCCTCTCGGGGACAGACGGGAGATACACCTCCAAAGAAGGAGGAGGGCCTCTGGCCTTGGGGAGGAGAGTGGGCGTGGGACGGAAGGGACAGGGCTGAGGGACGGGCCAGGGCTGATCCCAGAAGGAGGGACGGCCATGCGGAGCAAGCCCAGATAAGGGGACAAAGACGTGCTGGTGCCCGACGGAGAGGAGAACAAAGAAGAGACGAGACCCGGCTGCACATCCCAGGGTATGATTGTTGTGTTTGTGTTTGTGTGTGCTGTGTGGGCACACATGTATAGGGATCATCATTAACTTTCTGCTTCCCAGCCTTGGGCAAGAACTTGTTTTTTCTTTTTTGGGTGGTCAATGAGTGGGGGCAACCATCAAAATGCAGTCTACTCAAATTATGTCAGTCCCTAGAGGAAGTGTGTCCATCCATTCCCTCATTCACTGGCAGCTGGGAGAGGCCGGACAGATTCTCCCTCAGGGCCTCACAAAGAGCCAACCCTGCCCACACCTGGATCTCGAGCTGTGAGATAGTCTCCCACTGTTGGAGAGCCCAGACTGTGGTCCTTGGTAACAGCGGCCCCAGCACCTTGATATGCATAGTGTTTCCCCTTCTCATAGGACGGGGCTTTCCCTCTGTCTGTATCATTCTTTAGTCCCAGCTGGCTCCCTCTGAATGTGGCTGTGAGCATCTCGGTCCCCCTCTCATCCCCCGCACACTCGCCCTCTGTGGCCTCTGCTGCTGGTCACGCTACCCAAGGCTGCCCAGGAATGGAAGGTGGGCCTTCTGGGTGGGTGCTGGGTGGGTCTGTTCCAGAGTCTCTTTCCTGGGGAGGACAGTCAGGAAACCCAGTGAAAATTGAGGAACCATGTAAAAAGGAAAAGAAAAGGGAATCCGATAGCCTGGAGCCCAGGTGATCTTAGATACAATGAAGTCAGGACTCAGATGTTGATCGAGCCGGAGCTCAATCCCACCCCCGACTCTCAGCTCCGATTTCTCACAAGGGTTCCTGCGTGCCAGCCTGCTGGGCATGTGGGTAATTTTATTGTCAGCATTGAGTGCAGCTAAAAGCTTCGATGAACTAAAGAACCGAGCCATTCTCTCCGAGTTCCAGCTGCTGCTGAGTGTGGGACCACAGCTGGGTTGAGGCCGCACTGTCCTTGGGCCCATGGACACGCATTCCCGTGTGTCTCCAGAAACGGTGCTGTCCACACGCCCAGCAGGGGTCTCTGCAGGGTGTCCATTCCGCCAAAGGGAGGGTATCTCCAGCCTTTGCCAAAACGCCATTCACAACGTTCAGCACACAGTGACAGTCCCCACATAGATGAAGAAACAGGAAAACATGACCTGTGGTCAACAAACAAACAACAAAACAAACCATCTATGGAATCTGACCCTCACACTAACCAGCTGTTAGAATTAGTAGATGAGGAGTGTGACATACGATGACAGAAATGGTGATGCTTCTGTTGGGAAAGGTGCATACAACAGGCAAAGAAAATGGTGAATTTCAGGAGAGATTTCGAAATTCTAAAAAAGAATCAAATAAAAAGATATGCTATAATAGACTTAAGAAACCAGGAAAGGAGATAGAATGAAATACTAAAAATACTCCATTAGATCAAAAGAAGGAAAGGGGGAAGGAAGGAATGAAGACAATGGGAACAGATAGAACGTGCACAGAAGGTGGTAGACTCGAGCAGAACCATACCAGTGACCACATTAAAGGCACATGGGCCAGGCACCCTGACCAGAAGTCAGGACGAGAGAGCTGGTACTCAGCTCTGTGTGCTGTTCACCAGGGATGCGCGTTAAGCAGGGATGCACGTACTACCCCACCGAGACAAGAAATGAGGCATAGCCGGGCTGCCACAGCCTGTGGTGCAGGTGTTTCATCAAGCATGCTAATGAGATGCTAACTCACACTGCATTAAATGGAGTCCGCGGAAGTGTCAGCGTCAGGGTGTTCAGTCTCTGGTCTGGGAACATGTGAAGTGTCTTCATTTATCAAGTCTTCCTGTATCTCTGCACATGCTGCCCACTGTTGGCTGCCTCTTGGTCCCTTGGCCCTGGGCACACATGCTGGTGGCCTGGTTGGGAGGGTGCACCTAGGGCAGAGGCGTGCAGGCCCTGGAAGTGGAATTTGGCTCCTTGGGCAGGGAATTCTACTGTCTCAGGATAGAAACACCTCACCCACAAGGAGGGGCAGGGCTGGGAGAGGCCAGCAGAGGGCCCTCAGGTGTGGCCCGCAGGGTGGCGTGGCTGTGAGAAGGATGCTCTAAGGCAAGTACTTACACCGTGCCTGGCACAGACTAGGCACTCAATGAAAGGTAGGTACTCTGTCTTCATTGATTCTAGTGTTCGTGGAATTGGACTAGGCCTCTCCATCCTCATCCCTCTGGCCACCCACCCCTGACTCCATGCTCGGTGACAGCGTGCCCTGCGTTCCACAGCGCCGCGCGCCAGGCCTCACACCGCTCACACTGCTTCTGGGGCTCAGAAAGCCTTCCCTCCTCTTGGCCTCTGGGCAAGTTTCTCCTCCATCCATTCGTCTGTTCATCCGGGTGTCAGCATCTCCTCCGGGGAGGAGTAACCCTTGACCCTTCTTCCCCTTCCACCTGGGCAGGTGAGCGGGTCTCTCCTGCCTGTGCCCTCTGCTCGTTTAGGGCCGTGTGTCCCCGGGTGGCCTCTGTGCGGGCACCTGTCCTGTCACCGCTGGCCTTGGATTTCGCTCTGCCCTGCTCTGCCCAGCCTGGCCAGCAGCCAAGCACCACACCCACTGTTGAGAGGAGGAATTTCACTTGGAGTTCAGAAATCCCTGCTGGAATTTTCCATTGAGATAAGCGAGGGTGAAGGTTTGGGGCAAGGCAGGCCACCATTCCTGCTTATCTGCAAGGTCTCAGCAGATAAGAGCATTCTGGAAGATCTGCACCTCAGATAGCAATCACACTACGAGTTCCATCCTTAACCAGAGCTCTGCATGGAAGCCCCAAGGAGGAAGGGAGCCCCTCTTCCCACATATCCAAGGAGCGGGGCCACCGGGCACGCCCGCTGGAGAGGAGATGCGTTAGTTAACAATCTGAGCCACTCAGGGTCTCTTCACAGGAGCAAGGGAGCCATGGGTCTGAGCGCAGCGGGGGCCACAGCCCTGAGAGCTGCTCTGAGAGGCTCAGAATGTTTATGCAACAGTGGAGCAGGCTCTGGCTGAGTGGCCCGGGTGGGAGCTGGGTGGAAAGTTATACAAGACTCGTGTGGGATGGCTGGAAAGGAGCCAGGTGCATGGCTGCTTCGGGGCAGGCGATCCCGTCGCTGTCACCTTTGGGCAGAGACTGAAGAGTCCGTGGGTGGGGGTGTTGCCAAGATTCTTTAGACACCGGGAGGGTGCTCAGACCAGACAATCCCCAGGGACCCTCCTGGCTCCAAAATTCCGTAATTTTGCATTTATTTCTAAAGGGGGATACGCTGAGAGCACGCTGCCTGTACAGCAGCCTGGTTAGGTGGTGCAGTGGGAACTCCCCCTGTTCATGCGGAGGCAGGAAAGCTGATAAAGTGCCAGAGAGAAAGTCTAAGGTCCGTATAGCCAAGTACCAAGAACTAACTGTGCCATGCGAGTACATCGCTTACGCGTCATTTTTGCTTAATTCCCATGACAAGCTCTGGTGTGCACAGTGCCGTGTCCGGGTGGGGTGATGGTCAGGACGCCTGTGTTCTGTCTCCCCTCCCCGTTGGCATGTCTGCAAGGGAAGGGTCTTCTGACTGAAAGGTGAGGTCTCAGATTCTCTCTCCTGGTGGCTCTGGTGCTGAGATCCGATCACGGTGGCCACAGGGAGCCTCTGGCCCAGCGCCCTCGCCTGGGAGGTGAGGGAACAGAGGGGCAGTGACGTGCTGAGTGCCTGTGGGAGGGCCCTGCAGGTTTCAGGGAACCGCTGCCCAGACTGCAGGTTGGGCACCCCTGAGACCACAGCAGCGAGGAGCCCAGCCTCCTGGGTATCTGAGCTCAGTGTTCGTTGGTGCCCCTGGGCCTCTCGAGGAGGGGAGGGGCCAGTAGGTTGTTTGGGTTCAGCCTGAGCCTGAGCCCGAGGCCCTAGGTGTTGGTTCCCTGTGTGTCACCTGGGCGTGGCACGCCTTCCCTAGGCGCTTTGGCTCGGGCACTGGGGTAGGCGGGCTTCTGCAATGGCTCCCAAGATCCTGGTTCCACAGAGGAACACAGTCAGGTTGGAGGGTGACAAAGCTGGCAGATGGCATTAGAGACGCACAGCACCCTGTCCCCAGGTGGCACCCGGCCAGGAGCTGTCATCTGACACGGCCCAGCCCGCCTGGCTGGCGTCTGATTCCAGGTGCAGGTCCCTAGGAGCTGGCTCCTGCTGTCTGTGGAAGGACCGAGTTCACTGCTTTCTCTCCTTTGCCGAGTGGGCAAAGCTGCCAGGAGCCCGAGGAAGGAGCTGAAATGAGGCCCCCAGGAGGCTCAGGAACTGAGGGCATTGGGTGACACAAACCCCTGACAGGAGGCTCACTTCCGGCTGGGCGCCCAGGTGCTGCTGCTGGGCCCGCTCTCAGGTCCAGCCTCCGCCTAGGTGGCCACGTGACCAGAGGACCTTGCCCTGGGAGCCTGGCAGAAGGAAGTGGCTTGTCTTAGGAGCCGGGGGGCGGGGGCTGGGCTGCTTCTCCCCCATCTCTGCTGGAGCCCAGCCTCCACCCACCCAGCTGCCCTGGCCACCGCTCAGCCGGCTACCTGGTGAGGGAAGCCGACCTTTCCCCAGGGCAGAGGGAGGCAGGTAGGGGCCCGCAGGCCCGGTGATGATGGCCTGCCAGGCTCCTGGGAAGTGACCAGGCCTGGGAACACGTGAGTCATTGTTTAAACGTCTATATACTTGGCAGTGTCTGCGTGTGTGTGTATGTGTGTTTGTGTCTGTCTCTATGTGTGTGTGTGTCTCTGTATGTGGATAATTGTGTCTGTGTATGTCTGTGTCTGTGTGTGTCTGTCTGTGTACCCACACATGAATGATCACAAGGGCACAGTGAGGGGAAGGGGTCTGTGGGACTGAGGGCCACGGTGCCGTGTAGGACCTGGGTCAGGGAGGTCGGGGTCCTGGCAGGAGATTCCTGCTTAAATTGCAGTGACAGGCCTTCCGGGTAAAGTGCTCGCAGCGAGGAGGATCCAGGTGCGCAGTCAGTACGGGAACCTCACAGTAATCTCAGTTCTTTCCGTGCTGGGAGGGTCACTCGAGGGACGCCTGACGGGAGACTCAGCGAGCCAGCCCCGCCCTGGAATGTCCTCCCCGACTAGGTAGGCTTGCAGCCCTTCCTGTTGCTGTGGTGGACAGGAGGGGGGCTTGTAAGGAATGAAAGGCCCCAAACGGAGATGCTAGAGAGGGTATCTATCAGCCCTGCTCCCCAGTCCGCATTCCTGGAGCTTCTCCCTTACAGAGACTTCAAAGACCCACCTTGATTAAGATCTGGAGGTGGGGTCAGGCCTGGAGTTTTCAATTTTCACTCTGAACAGAGGGCTTCAACCTCTGATTAGTGAAAGCTTACAACTGTAATCACACAAAAATTATACATAAAAATGCTCACTGAGGCTGATTCATTACAGAGAAAAGAATTAAAACCTAGTGATGCTCCAGTGGTAGGAAAATGGCTCATTAAATTAGAATAGTTGTAGGAATGTTACATCGTCATTGAACATACATAACATGTAGCAATGTGCAAAACTGCCTTTGATAGATGCTGTCGTTGTTTGAAAGGTAGGATACAAAAGTATATGTTAAAACTATGGGTTTTGGTTTGTTTGTTTTTATGATTCATTAAACAAACTAGAAGAAAGTAAGCAAAATGCTATTGCTGGTTGTACTAAGGGCATGGGATTATGAGTAATTTGATTTTTTCATATTCATGATGTATTTATACTGCTAGCAAAATAATATTTTCCAACAAAGATGTATCATTGCCAAAGGAGTAAGACACAGGCACCTGGAATTTCAGAAATGGTCTATGCATTCATAGTCCACCTACTTTGGTTAATTAAAACATGTTTTGGGCTAAAGATTTTCTTGACTCAAGAAGAATGTTATTAACGGGTACACAAAGGCAGCAAGGAGAACTTGAGGGCGATCGATGTGTGAGAACGCATCGCTGCAGGTGTGTCAGGACTTTCCGTGTAAAATTACAGCACCAGTCAATGGACCATCTGCTCCTAAGCAGGTGCCTTAAGAACTTCCAGCCAGAAACAACGTACGAGCCCGGGAGGCAAAGAAAGCCTGAGGATTCCATTTTGAAAAGGGTCCCCCTTCCCGGCTCTGTCCAGTGTAACTGATGTATGAGACAGTGTAAGTTAAGAGGCGTGACATGTTGCATTCACTATTGCAACACGATGGCCACCATCACGTCAGGTAACATCTCCAGCCCGTCACTGAAGTACTGCTCTTTGGTGAGAATTGACGAGCTACTGTCCCAGCAACTTCGAGGTATAAGATACAGTACTGTTAGCTGTAAACTCCATGCTGTACCTTAGACCCCAGAATTTACTCATCGTATAACCGGATGTTTGTACTGTTTGCCCACTCTCCCCATTTCTCCCAGCCTCTGGTACCCATCGCTCTACTCCCTGCTTCTCTGAGTTCAGGGGAAGAGCAGTTTGTAAGTTAGGACTTGCTACTGAGGTGCCGGTCTTTGGCCGATGAGTCCAGGCCAGTAGGCGGTTCCCGGCAGGAGGATTGCACCGCTGACTGGATGCAGGAGCGAGCCCTGCACTTTCCCGACGGGCTGAAGTCACGCCAGGGCCCGGTGCACCTCGTGTGGATGTGAAGGCCGCCGTCGGGCTCCTAATTCTGCCTGTTTGTCTTAGAGGAGCTGCTGGCTCTCAGTAAGGCGGGGTAACGCCCCAGAGGCCTCCCGCTCAGCTCCATAGGAGGCTCAGGGCAGCCCGGCTCAATAAGCTCCGCTCCTCACCCTCGCACCCTCACGGGGTGGCCTTGGAGTGAGTCACTTGCTGCTTTTCTTGGCCACTGGGAGCTGAGCGGCTGGAGGCCCTTCTGCTCCCCGCTTTGCCTGTACCAGCTCACCACGTGCCGGGCTGCCTGGTGTGACTGGCTGTGCAAACCATGCTCCGGAAACAGCACGTCTGTCCAATGAGGGCTTCTTGCTAAGTGAGTCCATGTGGGTTTCTGAGATATTTATGGAACACCTACTGTGTGCCCCAGGAATACAGTCCGTGCACTCTTGAGTGGCTGCAGCCCAGTGGGAGGGAGCAGATATTAACAAAATAATTATATAAATTAAATCTCATTAGAGGTTATAGCCCAACAAGAGTGATAAGTCATTAAAAAATTAGTTCTACGAATTAAGGTAGAGTTGAAACTGAGATAATTTCACTGGAGAAGAGGAGCAGGACCTGGGCCCCATGAAGTCTGTTTTATAAAATGCTATTTATGGGGACTGGACACATGATCGGGGCCAGGCTGGCAGCTGCAGGACCAGAGAGGAGGCTGCAAGCTGAGGGAGATTTGTATCACCCCCAACAGAGAGAAGCAAACAGATCAACAGCCCTTCCCCGGAGGCCGTCCCGGTGTATTTGACGGAGAGCAGTTGGAAACTCTCTGGTGATGTTGAACTCTGACCTCTTGTTATCTCTCTCCGGGCTTCGGGGCGTCTGGACTTGCTGAATCCCCAGGGCTGTAAATTTCATTCCCGGAAGCCAGCTGGCTTTTCAGGTGCTTTCCCACTTTCAGGTTGTGTACATTGCCTTTGGGTTTCATTTTCTACCTACCAGGTGTCAGAATCTGTGAATGAATTGCTTGGAGTTCTGCACGGGTGGGTGGGCTCTCCGAGAGCAGAATGCTCCTCCAGCACCCTCACTGTGTGCCGGTGGGTCTGTGGGATTCAGGAGTCCTGGGCGCTCAGCCCTCCGACACCCCAACAGGACCAGGCAGACCCGGGCAGGTCTAGACCAGATTGCTCCTAAAGCTTGCCTCCTGCTAATTCTCAGCGGAGACCCTGCTCCCTCCCAAGTCACTCCTCTTCTGCCTCAGGCTCCAAGAAATTTCTCAGTTCAGGCAAATGTTTCAAAACATTGGTGTTTTGATGGATTATTTGCCTTTTCCTGTTTTCCATAGTACCCTGTGTTTTCTTCCCTCCCTCCCTCCCTTTCTTCCTCGCTCCCCTCCCTCTGTTATTTATTTATAAAATATATTTTTATTGATTTCAGAGAGGAAGGGAGAGGGAGAGAGAGATAGGAACATCAATGATGAGAAGGAATCATTGATCAGCTTCCTCCTGCATGCCCGCCACTGCGGACTGAGCCCACAACCCAGGCATGGGAATTGAACCGTGACCTCCTGGTTCATAGGCTGACGCCCAACCACTGAGCCATGCGGCTGGGCTCCCTCCATTAGTTATTGGAGGCACTGTAACTTCTGTGAAGAAAATGGACGAAATCATAGCCGTGTCCTCAGCCTCATTAGTGAAGGGAAGCAGGGTTTTGCCATCTTGAAGCTACCTTTTGGGATATGGATTTCAAGCTGTTTATTAAGAAAGAAAAGACTCAGAAAGAACTTTTGACCCTGAAGAGGTTTAGACAAACCTGCTTCAGGAAGGGAGGCTTGGCTTCACGACCTTAAGAACCTTTGCCCTCACTCTAGTCGGGAAGACTCCAGGCCTGCTCGCTGGAAACCAATGTCCCTGGGGCTTTCCTGCCGTGTGTGTGTGTGTGTGTGTGTGTGTGTGTGTGTGTGTGTTCTACTCTTCCTCAACTACCTGTAAATCGCCCATTCTCACTCCTTTGTCCAAAAATGTCTCATATCCCTGATGTTGCCTCAGTGTCTGGGGTTTTCATGTCTATGTAAATTGCACGTGTGTTAACAACTTTGATTTTCTCCTGTTAATCTGTCTCTGTTAATTGGATGAGTAGCTGAGCCAGAAGAACTGAGAAGGTGGGAGGAAAAAGCAGTAATCTATTTTTTAGTCTCCACAGCAGATAATGGGGAGCTTTAGAGAAACATGGATGGAAAACTTTTATGTAAGCACTTTTATCTCCCTAACCCCTCTCTGAAACGTCATGCGTTGGTACCACGAGGCATCACCCTGGATGGTGAAACCCCAGAGTGTACCTTTGAGGGGGTTCCAGACCTGCCACTTGACCCCGCTTCCCCGGGCGTGGGAGGGCCCGTGCCCCTGCTCTGCTGGGCCCGCCACGCTCCGGTCACGTTCTATTTAGGACAGCTTTGTTGGAATCGAGGACTCAGTCCTGTTTGTTTTGAGATTTCCATACCAAACTCTCTTCTCGTCTGTCCTGGCGGGCCACCAGGGCAGTCTGTGGCCGTGGCTGCTTGTTGGGACCGCCGGGGAGCTTGGTCCTCTTCTCACTGCTCCCCCACCCCCCTTCCCGCCCCACCTCCGCTTTCCTCTCCAAACTTCCTCCCCTTCCTTCTTCCCACCCGACCCTGGGTGGGGGCCTCCCTCTTTTCCACCCAGGTGCCTGCCTATGGAGGGTATGGATATTTTTTAGGGAAGTCCTTCTTTCTGGAAGCAATCCATGTAATAAACAAAGACAAATGGTGTTAAAATGCCACTATTGCCCTGGCCAGGTGGCTCAGTTGGTTGAGCGTTGACCCGTACACCAAAGAGGCTGCGGGTTCGATCCCTGCTTGGAATGAGTACAGGAGACAACTGATGGATGCTTCTCTCTTGCAGCAATGTTTCTCTCTTTGGCTCCCTTCCTCTCTCCCTACAATCAATAAAAACACAGCCTCAGGTGAGGATTAAAAATTTTTAAAAATGCCATCGTTTTGCAGCCCCCTAACAATAGGCTCTGATAATGGTCGTCAGTGGTCACAGCATCACAAGGAGACTTCCGCGCACCATTTGCCTCCTGGGAAATGCCCACCACACTCACGAAACTTTCTCGCCAAAAAATAGCCTGTGATCTGACCAGGTTTCTGTTTTGAACCACCACACTATGGAAAAGACAGGGCTCGAAGGAACACAGTCAGTGGCGACCTAGGGATACAATCAGCAAGTCAGGCTAGGAAGCCATGGGATGCTCTGCCTTCTCCACAGACACACTGTAAAGGAAATAAGGGTGCGTGCATATAGACTGAGAGCTGCAGATGGAATAATAGCATGTCGGGGACTTGCTTCAGACTAATCTCTGTGGTGGGGGATCTGGGATGTGGGTGAGATGCGCTCGGCTGGCCGTGGTGGATGGGGGTGACCCTGCATGAGGTCCATAGAATGGTATCCTTTCCCTCCATGTGCTCTGTGTCTGGAAGTTTCCACAGTGAACACATATGCAGGGTTTGCCCAAACTTATTTTGCCCGAAGAGCTGTTTTCCTGCAGGGCACCTCAGGGTGGGTTCGGGGTCTCCCGAACCACAGGAAGGTAACGTGTCTTGAGATCCTTGAAACACCAACATTTTTTAGACAGATATTTTTGAAACACCAACCCTTTTAGGTAGTTTTTTTTTTTTTAAAAATCCTCACCCGAGTATATATTTCCATTGATTGTTTTAAAAAGAGAGTGGAATGATACCAAACCAGGATTATATGAAATGCTGAAAGGTATCCTTTAAGAAGAGGAAGAGGAAGAAAAAGGTAAAGATACAAATTATGAACAACAAATATGCATCTATCAACAAGTGAATCTAAGAATCAAGTGAATAAATAATCTGATGAACAGAATGAACTGGTGATTATAATAGAATCAGGGACATAGAAAGGGAATGGACTGACTATTCTTGGGGGGGGAAAGGGGTGTGGGAGATGCGGGAAGAGACTGGACAAAAATCGTGCACCTATGGATGAGTACAGTGGGTGGGGAGTGAGGGCGGGAACTGGGAGGAGGGGAGTTATGGGGGGGGAAAAAGAGGAACAAATGTAATAATCTGAACAATAAAGATTTAATTAAAAAAAAAAGAGAGTGGAATGATAGATGGGGTGGGAGTGGGGGCAGGAGAGAGAGAGAGAGAGAGAGAGAGAGAGAGAGAGAGAGAGAGACAGAGAGAGAGATATTGCCTTCTGCATACTCCCTGATCATGGCTGGATCGAATCTGCAGCTCTTTGGTGAGCTGGTCAACTCTCTAACCACCAAACAAGCCAGCAATGGCTAGATTTTCTTTTTTTTTGAATCCGTTCACCCTGAACAGAGAGAGTACTTTACCTCCCAGATGTTTCAGACACTTTTTGGAAAAAGTAGTAGATTTTTTAAAAGGGAGGATTAGTGGAATGAGGACAGTCGGCCCATATGATAACTGGCCCAGGGCCTGCAGCCCTTTATTGTACAATGGTCTCTGCTGGGCACCGCTGACGCGCTTTCTACACACAGCTGCTCACATTCCTCACAGCTGGTCAATGCTCTAACCACTGAGCTCAGTCCCCCACTTTCCAGATGAGGAGTTGGGGTGCAGAGCGGAGCAGTGACCTGGAGCTCCATCAGTTCCTCCGTCTGTTCATCCATCCCAGACTGTCTGCCCTCCGCTGGGAGGCAGTGCTGCAGGGTGAAGGTGCTGAGGTTATTTGGTGGCAGACGTTATGTGTCCCCACAGGCCATGGCGCAGGCAGACGGGCGCCCCCAGCCCGGGGCGGGGCAGCCCTACGTGTTCAAGCTGGTCCTCCTGGGAAGCGGCTCTGTGGGCAAGTCCAGCCTGGCTCTCCGATACGTGAAGAACGACTTCAAGAGCATCCTGCCAACCGTGGGGTGTAAGTGACGGACCGACACCCTTTCTTAGTCTCCAAGGGGAGAAGCCAGGGCGTGACCCAGGGAGAGGCACACGGGGCAGATATTGTCTGGTGCCTCGGGCATCATGGGCCCGGGCAGGGAGGAGGTGAGGTCCCGGTGGGGAGGCACAGCAGCCTCCAGAGCTCATCGGAGTCTGCAGGGTGGAGCCTTAAGGTCAGGGCCTCTGGCCCCAGGGGTTGGGTGTGGGGATTGTGTCCGAGTGGGGGTTGGGAGGAGCCAGGGAGCAGCCCTCCAGGCTCTGCTGCTCAGCCACCCTGCCCAGTCTCCCTCTGCTAAGCACTGCCCTGGGCAGGTTACCTGTGAGCAGTCCCCTTTCTGCCTGGACTATTTACCAGCCCGGCCTGGATTCAGGGGGTGAGGGGGTGGGGGGCGGGGGAAGTAGGGCCGACCCTCTCACTGCTCTTCTGAAAGAGACTCTAGGATAGGGCTCCCGGAGGTCAAGGTCTATGTGATCTGCTGGGCTGTTGGCCTCCTTCACATCCCACCTGCAGTGAAAACCCCGATCCCCACCCAAAATAAGGAAACCCAGCATGTTCTTTACGCCTGTCCTCCCGGGAGGCCGCGGGCGGGGTGGAAAGCCACCTCAGAATCAGAGCTGTGGTTTCAAATTTGGCCTCTGCCATGGACAAGCCATCTGTTTCTCTGAGTTCACTCATTCACTCACTCACTCATTCATTCGTTCACTAATATAGCGGGTATCAGTGGGTTTCTGAAAATGAAGATAATAAACGAGGGCTCTTTTCCGAGTTGGAGACAAGGAGTCTACGGGGTAGGGGTTAAAGGTCGCCTCAGTCCCGCCCAGGGCCCACGTGAGGGCCTGTGTTTCTCTCCAGGGAAGACAAGCTTCTGTCTTCTGTGCCTACTCAGTCACTCCTGCCTCATCACCACTTGCACTGAAAACCCCAAACCCCTTGAAAATTCGTCGGGACTTTCTATTGATTGAAGCGGAGCTGCTGTCATCATTTTCAGATGAAAAAGGGAAATGTCGGAAGCTTGGCTATTGAATGGATGAGATGCCCACATGCAACCTGGCAGTGACGACTTTTAAGGTACAACCAACATCAGATTCAGAAATGGGACTCGACGTGGTGGAAAACGAATGAAGGATGTGGATTAATGGCTGACATTCCCAACTCATTCGGGAGAGCAGAGGGCAGGCAGGGGGCTTCGTGTGGCAGCAGACAGCCACCTGGGCAGAGGGCGCCCTTGGCCCATGGTGAAGAGGGGGCCGAGCTTTAGAAGGTTGAAGCGAGGGGGCCAAGTTCATGCAGCTGACAGAGCCCCTCCGAGGCCCGTTCGCGGCCTGCACCCTCAGGATATCAGTCCCACGGAACACCTGCTGCGTTGTGGCCATTTCCCTCCTGACCATGAGCCCGCGTGAGCGGGGAGCCATCCGTGTCCCCACGTTGAGACAGAGACTGTGGCTTTGTTTGACCCAGTCAGTCTGCTCTGGCTGCCTGCAAGCACCACCGTTTTGGGGCTGGAAGTCGAGATCAAGGTGCCTGCAAGGTAGGTTTCTTCCTGAGGCCCTTCTGCTGGTGTGTAGGTGGTGGCCAGCTAACTGCACTCACCGTGGCCTCTTCTTTTTGCCTGCATGGGGGAGGGAGAGGAGAGAGAGGGGGCTCTCTGAGTCTCTCCCCATAAGGGCACTAATCCCATTACAGGGGCCTCACCCTCAGGACCTCATCTAACCCTAATCACCTCCCAAAGGCCCCACCTCTTCATACCCTCACACTGGGCATCATTAGGCTTCAACCTGTGAATTTTGCGAGGACACAAACATTCGGTCCAGACACATAGGGAGTTTATCTGATTCAAGCTCCTGGACAAGCAGGAAAATGTGGGACGTGCCGGCGAGGACCTGGTTGGCGGTCTACCCCACGGGAGTCTCATGAGAGAGTCATGATGTGACCAGCTCTGTGCTGAAATCCTAACCCAGCCCCGCCCTGCCCTCGGTCTGCAGTGGGTGGAATTGTGTTTCCCAAAAGCCAAGTCCAAATCTTAGCCTCCAGAGCCTGTGAGTGTGGCCTTATTTGGAAAAGGGTCTTTGCGGATGTCATTGGTTAAGGGTATTGAGATGAGATCGTGCTGGGTTGCAGGTGGACCCTGAGTCCACTGACTGGGACCTCATTGGAACTCGGAGACGCGGGGAGAAGGTCATGTGAACCCGGAGGAAGACACGGGAGTGATGTGTCTACAAGCACAGGAATGCGGATGGGGCCGGCAGCCACCAAAGCCAGGAGACGGCATGGAAAGGATTCTCAGAGCTTCGGGGGGGACGTACCCCATGATGCCTTGATTTCTGACCTCTGGTCTCCAGAATGGAAGCAATATATTTCTGTTTTAAGCTGCCCAGTTTGTGGTAATTGGTTACAGCAGCCCTAGAAGCTAACTCTCTGCCTTGCAGTGAAAGTTTTAATTTCAAGAATCTCCTAACAGGCTTCAAACTCCACACAGGGTCTGGGTGGGCACAGGGCAGCAGCTTTGACTGGAGCCCCCATCCCCTTCTGCCGGCTCCTCCCCAGTCCCTCTCCTGCCCCCTCCCCACCTCTGTCTTGTTCTGTGTATGACACACCCCACACACTCTGGTTGGTGCCACCAACAACTATGTGAAAGTCAATCACCTTGGCAAGCAAAGCTCAGATTTGTGAGTTAGGGCCCTGGAGCCTATGTCCCCACCCAAAGCCTCCGTGCGTCTATGAAGTGTCTGCAGCAGTTATTTTTGACACTTGGCTTTTGATGGAAACTGCCACCTTCCAGAAGAGGTGTTTGCTCAGCCTTCCCGGCTGTGGGTGGCAGGAAGCACGTGTCCCCGATGGTTCGCTGAGCCCAGGCCTCGCGCCGGCCGGGCCTGAACGGTGGGTGGAGGCCGGGTCCTCCAGATAAAGCTGCCCTGGGCCTCCGGTTCCAGGTGCGTTCTTCACGAAGGTGGTGGAGTTGGGTGACACGTCTCTGAAGTTTGAGATCTGGGACACGGCTGGCCAGGAAAAGTACCACAGCGTCTGCCACCTCTACTTCAGGGGCGCCAACGCTGCACTGTTGGTGTACGACATCACCAGCAAGGTAAGGCTCACCTGCCCGGTGTGTCTCCACGCCTTTCGCAAGGCATCTGCCTGTGTTCGCCCTGCCCTGTGTCTGCAGTGGGCGGAGTTGTGTTTCCCAAAAGCTATGTCCAAATCTTAGCCTCCAGAGCCTGTGAGTGTGGCCTTATTTGGGAAAAGGGTCTTTGCGGATGTCATTGGTTAGGGGTGTTATTGGTTAGGAGGGCATGGCTGGTCCTCCCAGAACACCCTGCACCACTATTCAGGACTCCCACTGATGATGGGGGGGGGGGGGGCGTTAAAGAAACGGAGGCACAGCCCTGGCTGCACATCCCCCACATGGAATATCATCAGGGCAGATGCTAAATACCAGTGAGCAGACACCTAGAGCAGGAGACTGGAAGGGTGGGGCGCGGGGGGAGTCATGGGGGCTTCCTGCAGGAAGGTTCTAGCAGAATGTGGAGGGAAGAGCAGGGATAGCCCTGCTGGGTGGGTGGGGGCAGGGAGGTGGCGGGGCAGGTGAGCAGGAAGGGAAGGCAGTGCTGGGAAGCAGGTGGGCCTGCTCAGGGAGGGAAGGGGCTACGTGGGGCCCGGGGCAGAAGCCCCACTACCTGGTCCGCAGGGCACTGTCTAGCCTCCTGGGACTGTTGGTGGGGGAAGAGGTCCCTGTGGCCCAGACCGAGCAGATGTCCTCCTCATGGGTCAGGCTGGGTGGGGTAGGGTTGGGTGCGAGGGTGGGGTGGGGCTATCTGTCATATGGCCCATAGGATCATAGCATGCTTTATACAATGTGGCATGGACACCTGCTTTCCTTTCCTGGGATAGCTGATGAAGACTGCCCATAAGATTTGTCTGAGGTTCTTTTTTCCTTTTTGAGGACTCCTTCCGCAAGGCTCAGCAGTGGCTGAAGGACCTGGAGCGGGAGTTCCTCCCTGGAGAAGTCGTGGTGATGCTGGTCGGCAACAAGACGGACCTCAGCGAGGAGCGGGAGGTGACCTTCGAGGTAACACTGGGGACGGGTCATTATGTCCAGGAGGAGAAAGGAGTGACCCTGAATCCCCCCACCCCCAGCACTCACATGCACAGCCACCCACACGTATGCACACACACATTCTCACAGGTACATCCACAGGTACACACACGCACACATTCACACATACACACGTGTTTGCCTGCACACACCCAAGCACCCACTCACGGGCACACCCACACCCCCACACCCACCCACGCTGAGAGATGTGGGTTTTCAGAATTTTTCCTTGTGTCTAATACATTCGTGAAGAAGGCTCAAATGAAGAAGTCAATTTTCTTTGCTAGGAACTGAGCAAGGATAGAAAGTTTAAACAGCTGTCGTTCTTCTAAAAGCACCCGCCATGGAGGAGTAAGAGCTGTGGGAGATGTGGGCAGGGGCCTGTATGGGGAGCCCCCAGCCCTCGTGACCCGAGTCCTGGGCGGGCCCCGTCCAGGAGCACCAATGCACAGCACTGAGTCCGCTCCAGGGCTGCGCCTGCTGGTGGGGCTTGCTGCTAGGAGGCTCACTTAGGGCTCACACAAGCTGGAGACAAAACCAAACCAAACCCCCCAAATGGCAATGGTGACCGAGCCACGTGTGGTGTTGAATAGGTGAAGAGAAAGGTGTCGACTAAGCGTCTTAGGGACGCTTTGTGAGCGAGCGCTGCGGGTTTGTGGCTGTTTTCCTCAGGAAGGCAAGGAGTTTGCAGAGAGCCAGAGCTTGCTGTTCATGGAGACCTCGGCCAGACTCAACCACCAGGTGACCGAGGCCTTCAGCGCCATTGGTGAGTGAGGGCCCCAGGGAGCCCGGGGGTGGGGCCATCACGGGTTCCGCCTCATCGGGCCTTCTTTTCTGGCATCCTGGACCCAACAGGATGTCACTAGGGACTGGAAGGTGAGCGGGAGAGTCGGGGCCCGAGCTTCATGGCTCCAGGTGAATGTCAGCGAGGGGTGGGGCCCCAGGACTGTGATGTGCAGGGCTGTGCAGAGCTGGGGGCTCCCTCATCCCACCACCCTCTCTGTCTGTGCTCACAGCTCGAGAGCTGCTGCAGAGGGCGGAGAGGAAGGAGGACCAGACACGGCGGGGAGGTGCCCGGCTGGCCCTAAACCAGGGGCCCACGGGGCGGGCCAAGTGCTGTTCCCGCTAGAGGCAGCCACAGCCACTCCAGGAGGGTCTCGGGGAGGAGCCCCCCAGCCTGACCCAAGCGCCACGTGGACGGTGGTACTTGACTCTGATTCTCCATTCGCACTGGCTAGTTCCTGGGGGTGCCCGGAAGCTGGCATCTCTCCGAAGAACCACTTCCGAAAGCCCGTGGGAGTCATTCAGGAGAGGACCGGTGTCCATGGCCTCACCACCTGCACCCAGACACAGAGTCCCAGTGCCCAGGCCGGGTGCACCTGCCCAGCCTGGCTGCTCATCCACCCTGCTGCTCCCGCCTCCGAGGAATGAAACGGGTCAGAGGGAACAGGGACCTGGTGCTGGGCAAGGCCCACCTGCTTCTGGGAGTGGGGACAGGACGGAGCAGGCGCAGCGGGAGGTGGCAGTGCCAGGGGAAATGGAGTGGCAGTTTTCTAAAAAAAATTAAACTGCTTTCTATAACCTTGTCTCTGGTGCATTTGCAGGGTGGGGATTTTGCCGCACACATCCTAGGGGGCTTGTGGTGAGGGACTCAGGAGGCAGGTCAGGCAGCAGGCAGTGACAAAGGTGGCACAGGACATCTCTCCGATGGTGACACAGGTACACCAGCCTCGTCACTGCCTGTCCCCTTCACAGAGGCCAGGAAGTCGCTGTGGGAGGTGAGCCCCAGTGGCAGGGGGAGTTGTCAGAGGGGCTGTTTTGGGGGGTTGATGTTGGTTTTCATCCTTGCCTCTGGGACTAGGATAAGCAGGTTTGGAATCTTAAACAGGATGTTGTTACCATCTGAAAAGGGTGACTTTGCTACATTGATGGTAAGAATGGACAGAGGGACACATGGAAAACTTCTGATCCCATTGGCTTTGAACTTCCTGGCATTTAAAGGGCACCAGCATTTCTAGGGGCCCCTCCTGTCTGCTCTCTGCTCTCATCCACCCTTTATGGGGACATCGGCCTGGCCCCTGGGCCTGGGTCGCATGTGGGGCTCGGCTGGTGATGGGCCCTGGCAGGGGGCTGATCACGCCATGAAGGCTGGCATTGTCTAGGGGGCTGATCATGCCATGGAGGCCTGGCATTGTCTAGGGGACTGATCACGCCATGGAGGCCTGGCATTGTCTAGGGGGCTGATCACGCCATGGAGGCCTGGCATTGTCTAGGGCAGTGGTGGCGAACCTATGACACGCGTGTCAGAGGTGATACGCGAACTCATTTTTTTGGTTGATTTTTCTTTGTTAAATGGCATTTAAATATATAAAATAAATATCAAAAATATAAGGCTTTGTTTTACTATGGTTGCAAATATCAAAAAATTTCTATATGTGACATGGCACCAGAGTTAAGTTAGGGTTTTTCAAAATGCTGACACGCCGAGCTCAAAAGGTTTGCCATCACTGGTCTAGGGGGCTGATCACGCCACGGAGGCCTGGCATTGCCTAGGCTCCATCTCAGGGAGGTCACCACAGCATGGCTGTGTCCCTGCCAAAGGTCACAGCCTCCCTCCTAAGTTCTGGCTGCTGCTCCTTCGCTCACCCATCAGCCAGGTGCCTGAGTCTCTCTGCATCATCACACCTGGGCAGGCGTTATCCTAATGGCAGAGAGTGGGCTCCTGGCAGACCCAGCTTCTGTCCTGGGGAGATGGAAACAGCCCAGGCGTCCCGCCATTCAGACTGCCCTGGTGCTTATTCTAACAGACATTCCATGGGACCTTTCTAGACAAAACCAGAGCAGATGTCCCAAGGCGCTTTCTTGTCATGACCTTTGAGAAAAGCTAAGGGATAGATAAAGAAAAGGGCCTAATACCTTGGTGGTTTGTTTTTAAATATGTTTTTATTGATTTTGAGAGCGAAAGAGAGACATTGATGAGAGAGAGAGAGAGACATTGATGAGAGAGAAACATCCACAATATCGACTGGTTGCCTATTGTGGGGGGATCAAGCCCACAACCTGGGCATGTGCCCTGACCGGTAGACCTCTTGGGTCGACACTCAACCACCAAGCAACACTGGCCAGGGCTACCTTAGACAATGTTTTTTAAAGATAATTTCACAGGTGAAATCTGACGACTTATTCCAATATGTGTTGCAGTTTCTAACTGTATGTAGTAAAGTTGGACAGTTTTTCACAAGATTATTCCCTCTGCTCCCCTGGCCACTAGATGGCGATCTACCATCACTTAACAGACCAGTAGTTTTAGCTTTACCCAGTGGCCAGATAAGTTTCTATAGAATGAGTACAAAACACGTTTTACATAAATGTTAAAGGCACGATTTAAAATTAAATACCCATTGCATTTTGAAGTTATTTATTACACGTTCTTACAAACTAATATCTTTTAAAAGAATTCTCGTGGTTGGCCACAAGCCTTAGAACAGAAACCACGCGAATTCTCATGATCCGTCTGCAATGTGTTAAGACCAACCAGGCTGCTCCCAGGTCCTGAGTCTTCACTCCTAAATGCAAGGCGTTCAGAGGAATTTCTGATGCTTTGATAGATGGGACAGAAGTATGGAAGTAAGGATGACGTTGATAGGATGCCCTTACATTGATGTCTATTTTACTCCCGTCTTGTCAAACTAGCATTGCTGTGCTAGAATCTATTATTAAAACGCCCCTGGACTCATTTCCACCAAGACACCCCCTGCCAGTGGCTGGATGCATTGTGGTCTGGGGCCCGGGTTCTCTATCACCTGGGATGTGATCTTCCCTTTCCCTGTCCTGTTCCTCAAGAGGCAGGTGGGACTCAACCCTGCATTGGGATCACCTGGCAGCCCGGCAAGCAGCACCCCTTGCCCAACTGAGGCTTTCGTGAAATTGGTTTGCAGCTCTGCTTTGAGGCCTCCCTGGTGAACCCACTATTCGGGCATGGGTGAGGACTGCTGTGAGGGCAGAGGTTCTGTCTGTCCTTCCTTCTCAGGGGTGTCCAGTGCCTGGTACAGTGTCTGACACACACTAGGTGCTCAACAAATGTGTGTCCAACAAAAGGATAGGAACTATTCCCTCCCTCTCCCCTGCCTCCGAAATCTAAAGAAAAAGGCCAGAAGCAGCCTCCACTATGGCTGACACAATTACGGAAGGCTCTCTGTGCCAGTGCTCACCCACCTCAGCTCAGCCCTTCCCAGAAATTGTGGAGTCGGGGTGGGGGTGGGGGGGTGGGCGGGCAGTGGTCCTGGAGCACAAAGGGGGGGGGGGGCAGAGGGTGGCGATGGGGCGGGCAGGCATTTGTTGCTCAGATGCTTCAGGACAAACGGTTCCAGAACTTCACTGGGTCCCAGGAGGCCAGTGTGTGAGCCCACTGACTGCACGCAGCCCAGGAAGCTGCTCCAACCCTTCTTAGCCTGGGTGTGGACCTGGGTTCTCTCAGAGCTGGTGTGTGTGTGTGTGCACACGCGCACACATGTGGTGGAGGCAGGAGATGCAGAGAGGTTGGTAAGTGGCACCTCGGAGCAACCCTGCTGACCTGTTTCTATTGACTGTGTCTCCTCAGACTCCCCTGGAAGAGCCCCCTTTTCCCAGAGGGGTGACCCAGGGACCCATACTTCTTATAAAATTTATTTACTACCTACACTTAGGACAATTTGAGAATCAAAAATTATCTGGCCCAGCCCAGGCCAATGTGGCTCAGTTGGTTGAGCATTGCCCCATGCACTGAGAGGCTGCATGTTCGATTCCCAGTCAGGGCACATGCCTGGGTTGCAGGCTCCATGCTCAGTAGGGGGTATTCAGGAGGCAGTCAATCCATGCTTCTCTCTCATAGATGTTTCTCTCTCTCTCTCTCTCTCTCTCTCTCTCTCTCTCTCTCTCTCTCTTCCTGCCTCTCTCACTGAATTAAATAAAAACATATTTTAAAAAAGTATCTGTAAGGTGTTGAAAAAAAAGAAAAGAAAGAAATTTCTCCTCTTGAAGACTCTGGTGAGCACGTGTTGAAGGCATTGGAGAGTCACCACGTGCCGCCCATAATGTAATTGCTGCCACTGGTGAGAATGTTAGCGGTGCTCACATTACTGGGGGCTCAGAGAGGGACAGGGGCTGAGCTCTTTGGGAAACTGGGCTAGGGACCGCTGTGGTTGCACAGAAAACCCTTATAATTGGAAGATCTTCCGCAAAAAAACAGTCGGACCTGGCATTTGTCAGAGTGGCCCAGGCCCCTCCATCAGACACGATGCCTCAGAAAGCCTGGGGAGCACCCGTGCCCACAGGGAGTGGCTGAATCCACCCTCTTAGCGTGGGGAACACGGGACAGGATAACAACACCACAGGGAACCATCACCTGCGTGGATCTTTCTACAAGACGGAAAGTCAATGTCACAACCAATAAAAAGAGCAGGCACTACAGAGAAATAACGAACTGCAAGTGTGGCTGTAGACTGGAGCCTACAAAAAAAGATGACGAAGACTTCCTGGCAACCTTGGGGATCTTTGACTACACACTAGATGATATTACGGAACTATTAAAATTTGCATCTTGTGATTTGTCATCTTGTGATTACATGGGAGATGGTTCTTATCTGGGGGAGAAATGTGCTGAGCTATGTAGGGGGAAGTCGTGATGTCTGTCCGCAGCTTCCTTCCCAAGGGCAGAGAGAAGGGGGTGAGAGTGAACACAGTAATTACTGTGGGAGCGAAGGGACGGGCATGTGAGGGTCACTGTAATCACTTTCAAACGTTCTCATATGTTTGAAAACGTTCATAATGAGGAGACATAGAAAACATAAAATCGTCTGCGTCTTCATCTCTCTAGGGACAGAAGACGTTGAGTTTCAGGGCTGCCCTAACAAAGTGTCAAACAACAGACATGTCCCACGGTCTGGAGCCTGGAGGCCTGAGGTGAGGCAAGGGCAGGGCTGGTTCCCCCGGGGCCGGAGAGAAGCTGCCCCTGGCCTCTCCGGCTTCTGGTGGTTTCCTGCAATCTCGGTGCTCCTTGGCGTGTGGGACATCACCATCTCTGCCTCCATACTCTGTCTGTGTCCCGATTCCCCCTTTCACAGGAATCCCAACACCCCCCCTCCCCCCCTTATTCCAGTACAACCTCATCTTAAGGATTTATGGCAATAATCCTGTTTCCAAGTAAGGACACATAAGAGGTCCTGGGGTTAGGACTTCCACATACGTACTCTGGGGATACAGGTCAGCCCATCACAGAAGGCCACAACCTGCAATTGTCTGGTGTCCAGCCCAGAGGTGCTGAGTGCTGCCCCTGCTGGTGGGCTAGAGGCAGAGCCAGGCTTGAGCCACATCCTATTCACCTTGGGAAGGTCCTTCCCTCAGGCCCTCTTGCCGGCAGGTCACCACCAGTGACCCTGTCACTGCTCCACCTGATAAGAAGAGCACCCCCCTGCCCCCAGCTGCTGCCCCTGGCACAGCCCCATCTGGGTGGTCTGGGCCAGCTCTGCCTCCTCTCACTGGCTGGTGAGTCGTGGACCGCCTTCTGCAAATGGAGCTGGGACAGCTGGGTGTGGGGTCCTGCTCTGGGTCCTGGACTCTGGGTCCTACTGAGCTTAGGTGAGCAGGAGTCCTGTGGTCAGGGTGGGCTCTGACGGTCCTGCCAGCAGGGTGCAGGCAGAGCTTCCTGTTGGAAATAAGTGGTTAAACCTGCTCCCCAGCCCTGGATAGGAAGCAGGGCCTAGGGGTGTGAGGTTCACACTCACTGAGCACCCATCCATGCCAGCAGCAGCACCTGTGCCCACCGAGCTCAGAAACGAGGTGGGTAGTACTGTCTTGGGGTATTCAGATGTGGAAATTGGGGCTCAGGAAGGTTAAGGGGCTGAGTCTCCCCTCTCCCAAAGCCAGTTACATCTGAGGCAGGACAGGGACACCATGCGATCTGAAACAAGTAGCAAAGGGACACAGTGTGGGCAGGAAGCGATCTAGGTTCGGTCTCCCTGCTGCTGATTGGAAACAAGCAATTCATAATGCTTTTTCTCCTCCGGAGTACCAACAAGGGAGGTAAAGAGGACAAGGGAGGGCCTGAGAGAGGGCGGGGCGAGAGAGGGGCGGGGCCTGAGGGGCAGGGGCTGAGAGGGGCGGGGCCTGAGAGGGGCAGGGCCTGAGAGAGGGGCGGGGCCTGAGAGAAGGGCAGGGCATGAGAGAGGTGCAGGGACTGAGAGAGGGGCGGGGCCTGAGAGAAGGGCAGGGCATGAGAGAGGGGCAGGGACTGAGCGAGGGGCGGGGCCTGAGAGAGGGGCAGGGCATGAAAGAGGGGCGGGGCTTTGAGAGGGCGTGGCCTGAGAGGGGCAGGGCCTGAGAGAGGGGCGGGGCTGAGAGGGGCGGGGCTTGAGAGAGGGGCGTCGGGACCTGAGAGAGGGGCAGGGCCTGAGAGAGGGGCAGGGCTGAGAGGGGCGGGGCTTGAGAGAGGGGCGGGGCCTGAGAGGGGGCAGGGCTGAGAAAGGGGCGGGTCCTGAGAGAGGGTTGGGTCCTGAGAGAGGGGCAGGGCTGAGAGAGGGGCTTGGATGATAGAGGGGCGGGGCCTGATAGAGGGGCAGGAGCTGAAAGGGCTATGCTGCCCTCCTCTGGGCTGGAGCAGAGCGCAGCCTGAGCCACCTTTGGGCGGCTTGAGTGGAGGGCAGGGGGCTGGAGGGGACTAAGAAGGTTCCAGCTCCTTTATTCCCTACTGGGCTCTGAGTGTCCTCCAGGTTTGTCACCACACAGACGCGTGTAGATGAGGCAGCTGCTTTTATTAGGATTGAAGGGAAAGTAGTCCCTGGCGGAGGGGCCGGGGTTTGGGGGAGGCGCCGGGGTTACTCCTTCTGCACTGGGTTGTCACCCACCCTGGGAGGGCTCAGCGCCTCCTTCCAGGGGGAAGCCGACCGCTGGTGCCACGGGATCAGCTCCGGGGCATTCCTCAGGGCCACTCTCCTCCGTCCGAAGCGGCCCACAGGCCTGATTCTGCGGCCCGTGTACCAGGCAGGGTCGATATCCGGGGCTGGAGAGAAAAGGCGAGTCAGTCGCAATCTGTGTTCCCTGGTATGCTCAGTGCCCTGCCGGGTGGTGTTGGGTGCAACTGCCTCCTCCCCATGGGGCTCTGAGCTCACAGGCCAGGCTGGGACCCACCCACAAGGGAGGGGCACCCGGAGGATCAGGTGGCACCTTTTCTGGGTGGTGTGGGGTGGCTTTGGGAAACAGAAATTCAAACTCACACCAGGACCAAGGACTAGTCCCCTCCTCACCCCCACCATTCTGTGTCAGCAGGGGACCAAGCATACTGGAGCCCCGGCCACCTTGGTGGTGGGAAGCGAACCCTGGAACGTGTGCCAGACAGGGACCCTGGGAAGCGGGTGACAGGGCCACTCTGGGTTGAGGACTGCTGAACACAGGCCAAACCTCCAGAGCTGGGCACTTAGTAAGGATGTGCCCCAGGTTAGGAGGTGGCTCTGGGGTGCAGGGGTGGGTGAGGGAGGCTGACATCTGGTTGGGTGAGCACTCACTGCGGGTCTCCATGGAGTGCTGGTGGGCTGGACACGTTGCCCCTCGCAGGGCCAGGCCCAGCAGCAGCAGGCACAGGAGCCAGGCCTGCAGCACCTTCAGCCCCCTGGCTCCTCGCCGAGGCCCTGCTCGAGGTGGGATCCCACACGGGAGGGCTCGGCCTGGGGCAGAGGGGGCAGGAGCAACGTTAAACACGCGTGAGGGCGCCTGTGTACAAAGCGGGAGCCTCAGGGAATGTGAGTGCCGTGTGTGCGTGAGAGAGTGTGTGTGCACAGATATGTGAGGGGTATGTGCAGGCATGAGCTTGTGTGTGCAGGTGGGAGGATGTGTGTTCCTGGGAGTGTGTGTGTGAATTCTCTGCTCCGGGCTGGGTGGGCATGAACACAGAAGTAGCTTTGCCAGACCGCCTGGCAAAGTCCCACGCCTCCTCAGGACCCCATTCTGTCCTCTGCACAATGAGTGTTCAGTGAGGTGGTCCTGTGTGTCAGCCTCTGTGGCTCCGTCATGGGGGCACTGACCCTGTGTCATCAGAAGGAACCGGGAGGTATGTAAGCTGTGGGTGCAGAGAGGCAGGCTGTCTGGAACAGCTCGGTCTGTCAGTCTGTCTGTGTTAGGGAGCTGGGGGTGTGTGAGAGGCCTCTGCATGGCTGTGTGCTGTGCACCAGGCCTGGGCAGGAAGGGTAGAGGTGAGCAGGTTTGTGGGGAGCTGCCCAGAGGAGCCCAGAGGAGCTGCAGGGGTGGAGGGAGCCAAGCCTGAGTTAATGCTGCGGGTTGGGGACTAGGCATGGACCAGGCTTAGGGGCTAGGACCCCAGTGCAGGGTTCTTTCCCTCATTCTGCCCAGGACCTCCTGCCACCTGTCCAGTCCCGCCCCCAGACCCATTGGAGAATGTGAGTGGACAGCTGGGCATTGTAGGAGGGTCAGCGTCCTATGTCCGTACCAAGAACACCCCCGTCCCCATGACCCCTGGGACCTGCCACCAGCCACAGGGCATCCCCCTACAGACAGGGGCACTGCGGGCAGCAGAGGGGCCAGAAAATGCATTTTGTCCTGTGGGCGGAGGCAGTGACCTGCCTGAACTGGTCCGTCCAGCAATTCCTCATGCTGGGTCCTCTGTCAGGTTCCCCACCCTGTCTGTCTCAGCGAGGACCCCTCTGCTCACCTTGACTTTCGAGCCTGTCCCTGAGCCATGCAGAAAGTGCTGTCCACCTGGGTGATTTAAAATGCCACCCTTTTCTTTTTTGGGTGTCACACAGGGGGTGGGGGACCCCTACCAGAAAATGGAGGTGCCACCCTGAGAACAGAGTGTAAAGAGATGCTGCTTTCTCCTCCCCAGGGGCTGGGGTTCATGCTGGATGGAGGGCACCTCAGGAGAATGTTAGCAGCGCCTGGCTCCTAATCCCCAGGGGGATTCCCTGTCTGCATTCTCAGTGGGGTGCAGGGGTGGCCTCCCCCCTTTGCCTTTACCATGGACAGCACTTGAGTCCTAGGGGCCCTGGGCAGGCAGGAGTGGCCCTCCCTCAGACACATAAACCGTGGGGTGGCTGCCCCTGCCTGTCCCTGCCTCTCCCACCCCGTGCTGGCCAGCCTCGCCGCCGGAAGAGCCAGCGTGGCCTTCATAGAGCCCGGACCCAGAGGGAGATTTGCAGAGTGACAGTCCCCTGGGCTACTCACCACTGTTTCCCATGATGGTGCCGAGCGTGGCCAGTGTCCTGAGTGTGACTCAGCGGGAGCCAGCCTACCCTTTTATAGCCCCCGGAGGAAGCAGCCCAGCCCCCTGACGCCCCCTCTCCCCTTGGTCCCCGCCCCCCTCACAAGGGGACATCAGAGTCTTTGTCTATTTTCTTTTCCTCTATTTTTTTTTTTTTAAACTCTCATCAGCGATGTGATTTGTCCCTTCCTGGGTTATATAATTTCATTTGGGCCAAGTGGTTTTAAAACACATTAGCCTTCCTTCTTCACGCCGGCCTTGGGGACACAGCAAAGTCAAGTGCCAACAGTCTGGGTAGCGCGTGAGCCACTGCCTCCCACACAGAAAGGCGACCATGCGGCCACTCCTTCATCTCCTCCAAATCATGGTGAACGGAGAAGTCGCCACGCCGGACACATGGTGAGAGGAGAAGTCGCCACGCCGGACACATGGTGAGAGGAGAAGTCGCCACGCCGGACACATGGTGAGAGGAGAAGTCACCACGCCAGACACATGGTGAACGGAGAAGTCGCCACGCCGGACACATGGTGAGAGGAGAAGTCGCCACGCCGGACACATGGTGAGAGGAGAAGTCACCACGCCAGACACATGGTGAACGGAGAAGTCGCCACGCCGGACACATGGTGAACGGAGAAGTCGCCACGCCGGACACATGGTGAGAGGAGAAGTCGCCACGCCGGACACATGGTGAGAGGAGAAGTCGCCACGCCGGACACATGGTGAGAGGAGAAGTCGCCACGCCGGACACATGGTGAGAGGTGTTACGTCTCCGCGAGCCTCCTCAGTCTGTGGCTTTCCGTGGCGACATTCTCATGCACAAACTACTCTCGTCCATTTCGTTGCTTAAGATCGGGTCCTCTCTAGGCTTTTACAAGTCTTCATCATTAATGTTTTCAATGGGCAAGTTTATTAATATCAGGAAACAAATATGTTGAATTTGATTGTAAAAGCAATTTATACACCTCTGGAAAGAAATGAACACATGTAGAAAAATAGGAAAACACACACAGAGAAAAAGCACAATAAAACTCAAAGAAGCGGATCGTTTTCACAGGTGATGTGCTTCCTTCTATTGGTTTCCCACATCTTTTCTGGGTCAGTTCATCATATTTATATGTTTTTGAGTCTCATTCTTCTCATTTAACAGTTATGTCCTCGAGTTGAAATAACTGACAATATTCTACCATTTAACTTGGACCTAGACACTTAACTCATTTGTATTCGGACTAGATTATGTCAAAGGTCCCTAAGTGCTGTTGAGTGTAGTGTCAGGGAGCCTGTCCTGGGGGAGGAGACCTGGGTGGCCCCCTCAGGCATGTAGGCTTGTGATAGGACATGTCATGTGACCATCACTTCTCAGAAATTCTTCAGGGCTGTACCTGCCCCTCCGGGAATTGGCTGCCCATTCCTGGTGGCCAGCAGGCTCCCTGCGGACCTGGGGTCTGTGAGCACTGGTGAGGGGGCAAGTGACTGGGGCCTGGGCAGTGGAGGGTGGGTGTAGGGCTGTGATGGTGGCTGCAAGGTGAGGTCACTGGGGGTGGATTCCCTCAGAACTGGGGGTGTCTCAGCGGTAGTGGTGGCCAAGTGCTCAGGGGTGTTTCTTACGAATCGTGGCGAAGGACCGCTGTCCGGAGATGTGCTCCTGTCTTGGAGGCGGGCCCTCTGGGTGGTCCCCACAGATGTGTGCACAGTCAGGGCCACCTGGAGGAGCATGTGTGTGCACATGTGTATGTGTGCACGTGTGCCAGTACAAGTGTGTGGGCACACATATGCCTGTGTGTACATACACGTGTGCCTGTGTGCGTAGGGGGACAGTAACCCCTTTCAGCAAAGTAGCTTTGTCACAGAGTGGCATTGGTGCCCTACCACTTTGGGCCTTCACCAGTGGGTGTCTGTAGGCAGTGGGAGATGAAAAATTAAAGGTATCAGTTGAGGTAAAAAACCCTAAATAAAATATTTTTTCTTCTATCACCATTTATTCTCTTTACCCTCTTCTACCTCCCCCACCCCCTTTAAATAAAATATTAAAGAAATAAATTCAGCAATGTACTAAAAACCTAATTATCTTGACCAAGTAAGGTTTATCCCAGGAAAGCAAGAGATTGTTCCGGTTGGAAAAAGTCATGAGGTGACTGAGGGGAGCTGAGAAGTCTGGAGTGGTCTGGGAGACACAGAGGATAGAGTGTGGTCTGATGAGGGGCAGGGAGGGGCAGGGTTGGGGTCTGGGGCCTGGGGTTTCTGGCTCCAGGGCTGGGTGGCTCGGATGGGAGCTCTGTGGATGGGAGAATGGATGAGTTCCGTGGTGGCAGGTGTTGGAGCAGCTGGAGGGATGACTGTGTGATTGCTCTTTGCATTAGTAGCTCCTTAGGGAGACCTTGGTCATGGACCAAACACAGTGTGAACAGAGCACAGGTGGCCGTGAGCAGGTTCTGGGGCACAGCACCCCCTGTCCTGTTGTAGGAACATGCAGGGACATGGAGGGCAGCCAGAACTGCCTCTTCTTTGACTCCTAGGAGCTCACTTTGACATTAGTTTACTTTGTGAATAAGGACGGGTGTCCATAAAAAACTGGCCTCCCTTCACTTACAGGAACCTTTTAATCATTTGTAGCATTGACTTGGGAGCAACACCCTTTAACCAGCCTCCGTTCTGAGAAGGGGCCACAGGTCCACCTTTTCCACCAATCCCAGCATAGCCTGAGGCTGGCTCATTCCGTCCCCTGGAGGCTGCCTTTGCACCGGGAGCTGTCCTGGACGCAACCCCTGTGGTGACCTGACAATGGCTCAGGGTGGAATCTGTGCAGCTGTGGGTGGGACTTGCCCACAGTCAGGTCAGAAGTCTCATCATCAAAGGCCCTTGGGCATCACTTCTCCATCTTCCTCTTTTGGGTACCATGTGAACTGGACAAGACACCCATTGAGAGTGCCAGGTTGAAGCTCACCCAGCATCACTGCAAGAGTATAGAAATCACAGCAGCAGCTCCAGGGCACTGCCTCGCACCAAGGGCTCCATGTCCCCCTCTGCAAAACAGGCTTAAATTTGACCTGAAGTTTAAATAAACCAGGGAGCCTACAAAACCACAGCCAGGCGTGGGATGGGGCGACGTGGTTAGTTTCTGTGCTCAAAGGCAGCTCTGGAGGCCCACAGTGGGCTCCTCTTACAACTGAAAGAGCCACCCAGACACCCAGACGTAGCCCTGAATCCTAGCCTGTCTGAGGTGGTGAACTTAGGGCTCATCTATGGAGCTTATGGCAAGAGGCCGGCGGGCACCACTCACTGGTCCTGGCCCTCTGGGCCCCGGGCTGCTGCCCCATGTACATTGCCATCACCGCCTCTCCCCACAGGTCCTCTAGGTCTGTGTCTGGGCACTGATCATATGCCACTCCTACCATGTGTATGCTCTGCCCTTGACCAGAGGGTAATGTCTCCCAGTCTGTGACCCACAGATGAACTTGCAGAATAGGTATATATGTGTGGGGGTGTCAGGGGCTCTATTCCTCTCTCATTATTCAGCTGATCATGGGTTCAGTTCCTTCCTTGTATTGATGCCCAATTTCCTTCTCCAATTACATCCACACAGAATACACACACACCGGGCCCACACTCTGATGCACACTGCCATTCCTTTCTGTTCCATTCATGAAATCGACATAAGAAAGGCAGCAGTGAATGGGGTGAAAGTTCTTGCTGAATAGGTTTTCTGTGTGTCCTTCAAAAAATTTAAACAACATTGTCCTGAAGGAAACATGTAGCTTAGATGTCTCTCATGGATCAGAACAGGCTGGCTTCGTGGCCTGGGAAGTGGTCATTGAATGGGGGTGAGCAGCTGCAGGTCTGAGGACCATAGTCATTTCATAGGTGGGGTTCCATCAGGGACGGTGTGTCTTCCTGTTTCTCCACTGGATGGTGTAGAATGGAGAGTGCAGGGCCGATGCGGGGACATCATGGCTGTGGGGGAGGGAAAGCAAGGCGGGCTGCTCTGTTGCTCTGTCCTGTTCCCAAGAACCTCTCCCGCTTAGGGCTGGTGGGTCATTACAGGTTTCTGCAACGCACAAACACATGCACAATAAGCATGCACAGATGGGCATGCACACACATGCACACATAAGCATGCACAGATGGGTATGCACACACACACACAAGCATGCACACATATGCACACACGTACAATAAGCATGTGGAGATGGGTATGCACACACATGCACATATAAGCATGCACAGATGGGTCTGCACACAGATGCATGCACATGCACAATAAGCATGCACAGGTGAGTATGCACACACATGCACACATAAGATTTTTGTTTAAATCTTTTGCCAAGTTTACATGTTACTTTACCCCAATTTTCTTCACTCCGAGGACTTAATACCAATAAGTAACCTGACAGGTCACAGAATTTCGAAGACACCTCGGAGAACCAGATGAATCCTTACCGAAAAGCTGTGGTGGGCAGTGCCCCTCCTGCCGTTGGGGTTTCTCTGTGTCAGGGAGCCGCGGTACACAGATTTCCGATCAAAGGACTCGTCATCTTTGCCTTTGGGGAAAACACGGGGGCGGGCTTATTAATCACACACTCACCCCAAACAAGTGTCGTTGCCTCCCAAGAAATGAACCAAGTAGCAGAAAAATGGACATTCCCCCCTTGGAGAAGTTTTCTCAGCACTCAATAGTTTCAGCAAAGCACCCACATCTTAGCAACTGTGCAAAGGAGCGCTCTCTTTGGAGCAGGCATGAAAACCCTACTCCCTGGGCCCAAAATGTTCACCGGGGGCAAAACAATAGAAAGGTCCTTGCACTGGTGTGCGGTCTGCCACTCCTTTCCTTTCCTTTTGTGATGTGACAGCCGGCCTGAGGGGGTGGGCCTGTCCTCAGGAGAGGGTGTCTCCTCAGGGCCTTGGTTGTGAAATCCATCACAACAGAGGGTCCTGCAGGTGCAGGGCGTGAGCTGCTGCGTCCCACAGATGATGTGGAAATTCAGAGCCCTGCTTCCACGCCCCGGAGCCCATCCCTGCCTGCGGGGAGGAGGGACGCAGGCGACTCTTACCTTGACTTTCAGGGGAATTGCTGAACTTCCCCCTCAGAAGATAGGGCCCCGCCATCACCTGGAAGGAAGGAGACACATCTGGGCTTCACTCGACTGGAACTTAGAAACACTGGGGGCCAACTTGGGACCTGTCATTCTTCCAGATTCTAAGTAACCGGGTGGACTGCTTCTGCTCTTTGGCAGTATTGGAACCGTTAACCAATTAAAATGCATGCCGTCAATCATGTAAGCACCCGGTGCCAGAATATAAAAGGGAGCTGCCGACATCGGGAGGCGTGGGCTGTGAGGGCTCCTCCCGCACCCACCCTCGGCTCAGTGCGTCTGAGGCCACCAGCCTGCGAGGCTTGCCAGTTCTCCACCACCCCCTGGACCTGCCATGCTCTGGAGAAGGTGTAGAATGTGGTCCTGAGCCCTGGGCTGTCCTTTCACTCTTAGTCTGGCCTTTAGGGGTGGGAGGGAAGCACGCACCTCAGCCCCATCGGAAGGGCCTGCAGGTGGGTCCTCGGGACTCTGGCCCAATTTCCCAGCAAGTCGGGGCAGAAATACCTGGAGGACAAGGAAGAAGCCTGTACATGATCGCTGCCCTGTGTCCCCTCCAGCCACGGGCCAGCTGGACACGGGGCGGCGTGCTCCTTCAGCACTCGTTCAGGAATGCGGGGGAGGCACGCTGGCCCTGCCAGATAGGCCACTCAGTGCTCTGGGACTGGGGCACGGCCAGGTTTAGCAAATTAAAACACAGAACGCCCAGTCTGCTCTGAATTCCAGAGAAACAGCAGGTCATTTCTTAGTGCATGTCCCAGTACGCACGGGCTACACTCACACGGGAAGATGATTCGTCGTATATGTGACATCGAGCTTTAACCGGCGTCCTGTGTTTTACCTGGCAGTCCCGTCTGGGACTCTCCCGGGAACGTCTTTCATTCTCGGCCAGGTGTCCTCACCATGTGATTTTGCCTGAACATCCCCGACCTGACCCAGGAGAGATGTCGTGGGGGCCCTGCTGCCCTCCCCACCCCCTGTTCTAGGCACACCATGTCAGTGGCAGTGTGTTAAGATGCCCACACGGGTGGCATCCTTCAGGGGCTGCTTCTGCACTCTGAACCGTGCCCCTGGTGTCTTTCAAATCCTCATGGGAGCTGAGGGTCCCTCATAAAGTACTTTCTCCAGTTAGAAAACAAGTAACAAATGAAAAAGAGCCCCCACAGGCACAGCTCGGGATGGCTGCTAGGACACTGAGGCGGCAGTTCACGGAGGGGAGACGGCTGGCCCGGGGCTCTCGGTTTCACGCCCTGGGCGGGCCCTGTGGGGCTGGCCACGAGTTGGGCACCCAGGCCCCGGGCACCGCAGCGTCCACTCACCGGGAGCTTAGACTTCCTCCGGGGCTTTCCTGAGGGCTTCACCGTGAGCCCTGCAGCCCGCAAGGCTGCGATCCTGGCCTCGATTTCCGACACCTAGAGGATCAGTGAAAACAGACAGACGTCACTCAGGAGCCCCACCTCCGGTCACAGTCCTGGAAGAGCAGCTGCCCTCATTCACTGATTTTACTGTGTTTCCCACCCAGATGTACTTTCTGGGGTCCCATTCCATGCAGGTGCCATGGGTGTCGGGGAGGGGCTGGGTCACCCCCAGTTGGGAGCAGAGTCTGAGGGACTGGCCCTCTCTTCTCTGTGGGTCCCTAGGGGGCTGGCTGAGCAGGTCCCAGTCACTGTGACTGCCCCTGGGAGGCCTGCTCTGTCCTCTGACCTTTGTCACCACCGACACCTCTGCCCTTACACCGAAGCTCTGGGCCCACGCTCCTCGGGTCAGAATGTGGTCCTGAGCCCTGGGCTGTCCTAAAATCTTAACTGCTTCTAGAGAAGCCCCTCCATGGGGTGGGGCAGGGGGAGTGCCCGCATCTTCCTCCAGTGGCTACAAACCCCGCCCGCCCCTCTCTACAGCAAAGGGGAAGGGACGGAGTGAGGTGAGAGGGGGTGGGGTGTGATTCCCACAGGGACCCCCAAGCTCCTGTTCTGAAGCTGAAGGGGCTCTTCTGCATGAGCCGTTGGGGAGCCCCTCCCCTGCTGTCACACCGTCAGGGCCCCACCGCTATCTGTCTAGGGGAGCCATCTGCTCCCGAGGCTGTGGGCTACCTCGCTCTCCGTCTGCTGAACCTCAGAGGCCGTCACGGCCACCCTGTCCTCCAGCTGCGACAGCGCCTCGTCCGGGGTCCTGGCGGTCTGCATGGGGCCCTGGGGGCCAGGGGGGCTCTTTTCCCATCTGTGTGTTTGGCCTGCAGACGTGCACACCTAGGACAGGAGAGACTGCAGGCTTCACCAACAAGAACCTCATCCTACCATCCTCTTTTCTCTTCACTCCTGGAGCTGGGCGGGCAGACGGTCAGCCAGGGGCTGGGCACTCTGCGGCCCTTGTCAGGCCCCCTCACTGACCTCCAGGGGTCAGCTGTCTGCCCTGGGCTGGGCTGCTGGGTTGTCTACAGACTGTTGACCCCTGGCCCTACCTCTGCCCGTGTCCTCTGGAGACCGCGGGGGGCGGCCTTACCTCTGGGGTCATCCGGGGGAGGTCCTCCAAGGAAGTGCTCCTGTCCAGCTCCGCCCCTTTGTCCTTGCCCTCCTCCTCGGACGAGGCCCCCTGGTCGCTGACATTGCTGGTCAGCTCCTCCAGCTTTCTCTTCAGGGTCTCCTCCTCCACATCCGCCTCCGTGGGCTCGCCGGCACCGGGACCCTGAAATGAGCAGCGAGCGGGTCTGGCTCAGGGGGCATCTGTGCGCATCGTACTTAGAGGTGGGGTTCTGAGAGGGGTCGCACACCTGAGCTCCCGCTGAGCCGTGTCTCCGTCCACTCTCCACGTGAGCTTGCAAAAGTCCCCGTGCTGGGCCCAGTTCCAGCCCCTCCTGGTGATCCTGATGCCACCAGGCCACCGAAGACCCACCATTTATCTATTACACATTTATTTTTAATTGTAGTTTACATGCCATATTGTATTAGTTCCCTGTGGACAGCAGAGTGATTTTCCATGAATACACCTGACGAAGCCACCCCCACAACGGGGCTAGCACATCTGTCAGCGTGCGTGGTGTGGAGGCTGCTACTGGCTCTGCTCCCTGTCCTGTACATGACACCCCGAGACTCATGTTACAGCTGGGAGTTGTACCTCTTCTCTCCCCCTTTTCTGCTCAGCCCCTCCCTCCCCTCCCCTCTGGCAACCATCTCTTTGTTCTCTGTATGAGTTTGTTTCTGTTTTATTTTGTTCATTGTTTTCTTTTCTTAGATTCCACATATGAGTGAAATCATGTGGGATTTGTCTTTCTCTGTATGACTTATTATTATTGTTTTGTTAATCCTCACCCAAGGCTATTTGTTTCCATTGTTTTTTGAGAGAGTGGAAAGGTGGGAGAGATGGGGAGAGAGAGAGAGAGAGAGAGAGAGAGAGAGAGAGAGAGAGAGAGAGAGAAATAGCTCCATGAGAGAGAGATACATGGACTGATTGTCCCCTTCACATGCCCCGAGCAGGACCAGGGATCAAACCTGCATCCCTTGACTGGGAATTGGAGCTGAGACTCCTTGGTGTGTGGGCTGTCACTCTAGACATTGAGCGCATAGACCAGGTGTCAGTACGACTTATTTTTTAAAAAATATTTTTACTGATTTTCAGAGAGAGAGGAAGGGAGAGGAAGAGAGAGAAACATCAATGTGAGAAATGACATGGTATCAGCTGCCTCCCGCACATCCCCTCCTGGGGATCAAGCCTGAAACCCAGGCAGTGCCCTGACTGGGAATTGAACCCGTGACCTTTCTGTGCACCGGACGATGCCTAACCAACTGAACCACACTGGCCAACACTTTCTGTACAACTTATTTCACCCATGTTGTCATAAATTGCAAGATTTCATTCTTTTTTTTTTTTCAGCTGAGCCATTGCCCATTGTATATATGTATCACCTGTTCTTTATTCACTCATCCATTGCTGGGTGCCTGGGTTGCTTCCATATCTTGCCTATTCTAAATAACGCTGCAGTGAACGAGGGGTGCATAGATCTTTACTAATTATTTTCTTAGTTTGTGCTTTTAACAAAGGGGCTTCCGGGCCCTTTTGTTAACAACAAAACCGCCTTTAACAAAGGGGCTCCGGGGCCCTATCTCCAGGTGGGTCAGCAGACATCCCACCACTGACGTGCGCTTACTCATTCCAAAACCCTGCAGCCGAGGAACAGAAACAGTGGCCAGGACACAGCCCACTCCCACCAGCAAGACCCAGCACCCGCCCCCTGGGAAGCACCAAACTCCCAGACCGTGGATGGAACCCTGAGGCCGTCACCCAGGCCATGACCCGGGGAGGGTGACCAAGATACCCATCTTCCCACACCAAGGGCTCTGGGACACCCAGCAAAAGCTGGGGGTGCACTCTGGGGAGATGAACAAGGCAGGAGGGGTGACAGGTTCACCCAGTCTAGGGAGCTGGACCTGAAAGGCCGACGGGGATCGTTCCCGGGGGCAGCTACTGTCCCGAGCAGCACAGGAAGGCGCGAACTAACGAGGCCAGGCCGATCAAACGAAAACTCATTATCTGGAAGGAGCTGCGGGTCACTGGTGGGCCAGGAGACAACTTCAAGCGACTAAACATACAACTTCCTTATCCCTTGAATCACCAGGCTCTTGAGTCACCAGAAGCTATTAGTCCCCAGACGGGGACATGAGAAAATCAATGCTTGTTCTGTTTTCTCCAGGCCCAGCGGACGCAGCCTTCCTGCCATTATCTCTCTCGAGGCTCACCTGGGTTTAGCAGAGGGCAATGGTCCTTCCAGTGGAAAGGTCCTCTGCATTGTTCGGAAGGTAATTAGTTTGGTCGTCACAGCACCGAGAGCCCTGAGCGGGCAGAGCCGCCCGTGGAAGAGCCAAGCTGAGAAATGTCACCTCGAGGGTTTCGCTCTGGAGTGGCCTGGAGTGGCCCTGGTAACTGAGCCCACCTCTGGTTGCACTCAGAGTCTAAGAGACAGCACTCAGCAGTCAATACCAAGGAGCAGAGAGCCCAGCAGACAGCCTGTGCCCCTGAGGCGTCAGGATGCTTGGCTGCCACTTGAGGCCTGGAGAGGAGGGCCCGGACCCACCAGTGCCAGCAGTGTCATTGTGAGATGTCACTTAAGAAAGATAAACTTCCCACGATGACAACTGGGACCATTCTCACTTCGGGTTGGGGGAGGTGAGCAGGAAGTGGGGATAGCACAGAGCCATGGAAAGGCAGCAGGCTGGCAAAGGAGCCGGGGGTGGGGGTGGCACTTTGAGCAAGGCCAGGTTGGCACCCAGGCCTCTCAGGGGAGGGGAGGCCTCCGGGACAGCATGCCCACCACAGACAGAACAGCCCCGGGTTTCTATCTGGTACTGAGAGCCACTGGGGCCATCAGACATGCCCATGCAACACCTGCTTCTCAGGTACCAGGAGCCACCTCCATGCAGCTGCTGAGCCTTCCCCCTCGGCCCCCCAAATGGCCATGGCTTTGGCGGTGGCCTCTTCCCCTGTGTGAGCCCCAACTGTCAGGGTTATCATGTTACTAGACTTGTACGGACGTCAAGTATGAACGGGTGCCTTCAGCTTGTGGGCAACAAAACCAACATTTATAACTTGCAAGCACAACACAGACACAGGCCATGCTTAAAAGGAACAGCCATAATTTGGGACTGGCGAGGCTCCTGTGGGGAAACCGAGTCCGTGTCTGCAACCTGAGCACGGCTTTGATGTCCCGGGGCCGGCTCTCGGGAGTGGGGGGCTCACTCCCCACTGTGGTGAGGGTTAAGTGCCGGGGCTCCGTTTCCTGCCCCCGCCACCTCAGCCCCGTGGAAGTGTCCTGCGTGCGGCACGCTGTGCCATCTTTGGCCTCCTCTTGGGAGTCTTTCCTGACAGTTCCTCACCCAGAAAGTCCTAACCATGGGTACAAAGCAGAGACAGGTGACCAATCAGAGGAGGATTTGCCCCAATAAAACATTGCTCTGGAGAACTCAGGCCATGTCTGTGAGTCTTGGGGTTGGAAAGACTGCTCTATCCTGGAGGGAGGTCTCTGTTCTGGGGAAGGTCTCTATCCCATGGAGGTCTCTGTCCCAGGGGAGGACTCTATCCTGCTGAACAAATGACCAGCCTCTCCACATGACAGCCCAGAGCTTGGCCTATGGGTCCCAGGAGGGGAGCTCCACAAATGCACCCTCCAGATCTCCCAGGAGGGGCCCCGGGGGCGGGAGGCCCTGTGCCAGGCACCAGCGTGCAGAGGAAGCTGGACCTACACTAACCCAGGCTCCTGCAGATGTGCGTGAGACCAGCCTCAGGCCAGCTATGGCTCAGGATTCTCCATCCAGAGCAGGGCCCATGCACCCCGTCTGGGATCCATGCTTCGAGAGTCATCAGTTACAAAACGGCCCCAATCCTGCAATTTTATCCATAGGAGTCAGGGCTCCACCACAGACTCTGGTGAGTCGGAATCAACCTCGTAGGTTACCATGTTCTCGTCTAAAACAGGATTGCCTTTCCCCCAATAAAATGTACTTGCCTGTTCTAATCAGTTGACTGTAAACGGGCTTGTGATTTAATTTCAGTGAAAAGAACCCGTGGTACCCAAAGGAATCTTGTGATGAGCTATGTCATAAATCAGTGTTTCTATGTGAGCCGTTCTCACTAACTTAGGACTTAAGTACTTTAAGTTGAATTTTCTTTTCTTTTCTTTTTTTTTGGTTAACCCTCACCCGAGGATATTTTTCCATTGATCTTTTAGAGAGAGTGGACGACAGAGGGAAAGACAGAGAAACACTGATGTGAGAGAAACACATTGATTGGTTGCCTCCTGCATGCGACCCTGGGAGGAGCCTGCAACCAAGGTGCGTGCCCTTGAATGGAATCTCACCCGGGACCCTTTGGTCCACAGGTTGCCGGGAGCCGGTCCATGCTTGCTGTTTCAAGGGACCTGGCATATATGGCATACTGTTCTTAATATGTTTGCTCACCTTCTTGGCACTATGTGTTTTAACCAAGGTCTCTGAGAAAGGTTGTTTCCCCAGGTAGGGATTTTCCCCTGAAGTTAGGGAGGGAATAAAACCTCTTAACTAAGTGCCAGGCCGGTAATTAATCACTTTAACTATGAACAATCATGCTTAAGCTACATAATCTTTACTCCCTGGAATGGAGATAAGAAATGCCCTAACCTTTGGAATAGAGATTGATAGGATTGAATCAACTGGTATAAATACAGATGTAACAAGACAGCAAGAGTCAGAACTTAGAATACAGAACTTAGAACACAGAACCTACACACAGAACTTAGAGACAGAACCTAGGCACAGAACCTACACAGAACATTCTCTAGAGACAGAAGAACTTCGCTGGAGAGAACATGGCAAAAGATCCTGGACAGAAACTGGCCTCAGAACCTAGAGACAGAACCTAGCGAGAGAACATGGCAAAAGATCCTGGACTGAACCTGACTACAGAAATTGGCAAGAGAACCTGACTAGAACCTGGTGACTGAACCTGGCTGGAGAACCTGGACAGAACCTGGCTGGAGAACCTAGTGGGGAACATGGCTACAGAACCTGGCTGGAGAACCTGGAGAACCTAGCAAGAGAATATGGACACAGAACCTGGCTGGAGATCCTAAGCAGAACCTCTCTGGAGATCCAGACCAGAACTTGGCTGGAGATCCTGGCTAGGCTGCTGATCAACTGAACACTGTCTCTGTGTCATTCCTTCTTCGCCGACTCCGTCCACACCTTTGGGAACCCCTGGACCCGCTGGGGTTGGACCCCGGCAACAGGTGACGCTCTAGACACTGAGCCAAACCAGCGAGGGCTAAGTTGAATTCTCTTAAAGGAATGAAGTTCTGACCCTTGCTACAATGTGAATGAACCTCAGAAACAGCAGGCAGCCAGTCACAAAGGGTCCTGTATTGTATGATTCCAGAGTCATTTTGGATGAGAGATCCAGGACAGGTAAATCCACAGAGACGGAAGGCAGGTGGGTGGTGGCTGGGGTTGGGGAGGGGACCGGGGGTGGCTGCCCAAGTTGGGGTGGTGGGCAGGGTTTCCTGTAACCCCTCCACCATGGGGACACACACATGTGTTTTGATGACATCACTCCTCTCTGTTAAGTAGGCTTGTGCAATCTTATAGCTTTAATGTATGGAACGCTGTAATTTCTCTGATATGACTTGGTGTTAAGATGAAAGGGCTCCCCTCAAAGAAGCTACCAGGAGTCTTCCCACGCCCCGTACCTGGCTCGCAGGTGAGGTCCGGCCGCTCTGAGTGGAGAGGTGGGAGGCTGCCCTGCGGGCCCGCACGCTGTCTTTATCCGAGGTGTCCACGTCGGCCAGGCACTGTGAGGGGAGCTGCTCGTTCCTGACGATGCTCGCCCCTGGGGAGGGACAGTGGGTTTGGATTGTTTGGGGTGAGAGACTGAAAGCCAATGGACATGTTTCTACTGCAAAAATGAGAGATTGGAGCAGCTGTAGACGTGATTATATTCTTGACGTTATGGGGCTGAGACCCTTCAATCAGAGTAAGCTCCAGCAAGGAACTTCAGGACACAGAGGTGGCCTGGCGCTCACCACGCCCCAGATGGTGTGAAAGCCACGGTGCCAAAGCAAATGCCCTGTGATTGCACCACACCGAGCTCCACGTGTGGGGTGTGGGTCCCAGAAGTTTTCCAGGAGTGGAGGTGACTTTAGGAAGTCTTTTTGCCAGAAGAGTGATGGGCAGATGCTCGGGGCATGGGTTACCTGGGGTGTGGCTGGAAATGCGGATCCTGGGCCCCAGGTGGGAGAGCTCACTATCTCCACCTCTTCACCAAAAAGTACCGGCCCCCACAGAGCCGCCTGGAGATGGGTGAAGGCGGGGCCCTCAGGGCTGACCCTCAGTTGAGGGCACCTCGCATACAACACTGCACGGGAAAGTCATGTGTGCAGGAGTCATGTCTGCACCTGCTGTGGGCAGCCGTGTGAGTTCCGCTGACAATCTGAATGAGCTTGTGGCCCAGGTGCAGGGGGGCTACGGCAGGGGGGGTGCGCCAGCCCCGCTGACACTGGTTTCAGCCTCGAGACCCTGTGCTGAGGACCTAATGAAGCCTGGACAGCTGGCCACAGTGAGATACTGACTGTGTGTTGTTTTAAGCTGATACGTTTGTGTAATTTGTTACCAGCAATAGTTAACAGGTACGACCTTCTCACTTAATATCTACAAGGGTGGGCTGACTTAGGCATTGTAACCCTTTTCATAACCAGGACACTGAGGCACAGGGGCTGAGCGGCTTGGTCGAGCAGCACGCCATATTCCATCAAATCCCAGCCCGTGCAGTTGTTTGATGCTCTATTTAGGAAAGCAATAATATTGCCCATCACACTCCCACACATGCCTTTCTTACCACACTCCCTGTGACGTGCTCCTAGGGTAAAGATGGGGGAATGTGCCCTAACCAGTTTGGCTCAGTGGATAGAGCGTCGGCCTGGGGACTGAAAGGTGCCAGGTTCGATTCCGGTCAAGGTCATGTACCTTGGTTGTGGGCACATCCCCAATGGGGAGTGTGCAGGAGGCAGCTGATCGATGTTTCTCTCTCATCGATGTTTCTAACTCTCTATCCCTCTCCCTTCCTCTCTGTAAAAAATCAATAATAATAAAAAAAAAGATGGGGGAATGTGTCTTGGCATCAGTGAGGCAGGGTAGTGGGTCTGCAGCCTGGGCTTGACTCAGAACGGCAGGCTTCCCAAGAGCCTTTTCTCAGCATGATACCGTCTTTGTGCCTCCCCCACCTTGTCCCCAGCCCCACCTTACCACCGAGCCCGCAACCTGGGTGATTAGGGACCACGGGAGGGGATGAGTGTGTCCAGTCTGCATGCTCAGTCGATGTAGATTCACTTATTCATTGTTAATCAGGGGAGGTAAAACCCGCCTCCCCCACCCAACGCCTCCAGGGTCCTAGTGGGTGTGTGGATCATGAGATTATGGTCTCTTTAATAGAATGAAAAGGGAGAATGGAAAGTGGATAGTGTCTTAACCACATTTCGCAGCTGCATTTGTGGATGCTTGTGCTGCATGTGTGATCTTATTTGCCCACGTCAGCAGGGAGTCTGACTCTGGCCGCACACGTACCCCCACAGGCACAGACAACACTTCGGGATTTCATTTGTCTGGCAACAAATTCAATGGAGCAAATCTGGGTTCTCAGCACCTACAGACCTCCCCATTCATGGGGGACCAGGCAGGTGGCACCCCCATGGAACTGCACCAGGGGTCCCCAGCGGCACCCTGAGTCCTCAGCTGTGGAGATGCCCTGTCCCGGTCAGGACAGTTGGTCCAGTGACCATCAGTCTGTCATTTCAGGAAGACCTGCATGTCCCTACCCTGCAACAATGTCCTCTGTAAAGGTGGCAGCGAGCCCTGGGGGTTTGGCTCAGTGGATAGAGCATTAGCCCAAAGACTGAAGGGTCCCAGGTTCGATTCTGGTCAAGGGCACATACCTCAGTTGCAGGCTGGAGCCCTAGCCCTGGTCGGAGTGCATGCAGGAGGCAACCAGTCGTTTCTCTCTCTCCATCTCTCCCTCTCCTTTCCTCTCTCTCTAAAAATCTATATATATATATGTAAAGAGGTAATATGCTAATTGGTCCTAACGGTGTCCCAGTCACACCGTTCAACAGGCTGTGCACGCACAGGAGCTGGTGGGCAGGGATGGGGGTGGGGACTTGCACCACTGGGACATGAGGCTGCTGCCCGGGGTGCCCCCGCCCCCCCCTCCCTTCCCCGCCAGCGGAGGTGTGCGCAGGCCTGCAGTGTCACCCGCCCCGGATGGGGCATCAGGACGGGGCCGGGGCCTCGGTGGAGAGCTCTCAGCACTTCTGCGCCGGGGTTTGAAGACATGGAGAGAAAGGGAGAACAGATGGGCAGTTAGGGGGTTTAGACCAGGAGGGGAGTGCAGATGGGCAGTTAGGGGGATCAGACAAGGAAGGGAGAGCAGTTAGGGGGATCAGGCAAAGAGGGGAGAGCAGTTAAGGGGATCAGGCTGGCAGGGGACAGCAGTTTGGCAGTTAGGGGGATCAGACAAGGAGGGGAGAGCAGTTAGGGGGATCAGGCTGGCAGGGGACAGCAGTTTGGCAGTTAGGGGGATCAGGCCAGGAGGGGAGAGCAGATAGGGGCATCAGGTAGGAAGGCAGGTGAGCACTGAGGAGCTAGTGGTTCTGGATTGCGAGAGGGATCCCAGATTGGAGAGGGTGCAGGCCAGGCTGAGGGACCCCCTGCCCCCGTGCATGAATTTCGTGCACCGGGCCCCTAGTCAATATAATAATGTCCTTGGATGAGGATTAAAAAATAACTAAAAAACAAAAAAAAAAATAACTAAAGGTGGCAGCAGCTGTGTGGTCAGGTCAGGGGTCAATGCTGGTTACCTGAGTGCTGCAAGGGGCACACGGAGCCCGGGGGAAGCAGGTGCCATGAGGTTTGTCGGGACTGCACATGCCCGCCAATCACAGGGAAGGAATAGGCTCCTTTAAATCAGTCAGTGTATCTGCCCAAATTGGGGTGGTGGGCAGGGTTTCCAGAAACCCCTCCACCATGTAGAACCCAGTTGGAAGACAGCAACCAAGGGCACCTACCAGGAGTGGCAGCGATCCCCGGGGCTGCTGGGCAGGACTCTCCTGGCAGGCAGAGCTCAGCGCGGGCATCCCGTCCAGCAGGGGAGAGGCTGTCTGTCTGCTCTTCTGGGTGGGGGTGGCACCCAGAGGCCCTGGCATCAGCCTCATGCAGGACCATGGCCCCCTGGGAGGCGGCCTCCTCCGCGCAGGGCTCACCTGTGAGGGACTGAGCACATGGGGCCTGTCAACCACTGGAGGGTTTGGCCTTGGGGCAGCTCCTTGGCGTGTGGGCCTGTCTCATCCACATCCGGAGGGCTTCCAGGCGTCATCTGCTGACCGAGCACCACACACCTGCCCTCCGGCCCTTACATCGCAGTTCCCTTCAGTTTCAGAAACCGAGCTTTCATGGCCTATTCTGCATCCTGTCTCCAGAGAAGGAGGTTGGGGCCTGACCCCTGGGCCAGGTATCACACAAGACAACAGAAACACTTCCGACAGCCTCGGGGCATAGACCAAACCCAGAGATCAAAGCCCCGAGCAAGTGGGCAGGAAGTGTGTGTGTGTGTGTGTGTGTGTGTGTGTGTGTATGTGAAGGCCAGAGAGGCAAGAGTGGGTGGGGGTGGGGCAGCCCCTTGGCTGTGAGCCCCATACCCCTCCTCCACCCTTCCTGGGGCCTGGAGAAGGTTCCCTCTACTGTGCCCTCAGTCCCCAAGGAAAGGGGGTGCTGAGGACGTCAGGGAGCCACATGCCCCCACTCCTTTCCAGCTTGGCTGTGCTGGGGCTGGGGGCAGGAAGGAAGTCGTCCCAGGCCCTTGAGGCCAAACAAAAGGGAGACTGCACCCCCCAGATTTGCAGCTGGAGCAGGACCCATGGCCCAAGGCCTCTTGGGTGCTGGCTCCCTGCCCCGCTAACCTCAACAGAGGTCTGCCAATCAGCCTGGGCAGGCCCAGCCTTGCCCCAGCTGTGGCCGGGCACTGCCTGGGCCCAGCGGACCCCCAGAGCTGGGCTGAAGCTGGGCGTCACTCTGGGTCTTGTGCCCAAGCTGCATGTGCCCTGTGGGTGAAGGGCACAGCCACTGGTCCTGAGAGTGACCCCTGGTGGGGACTGGAGCCTCACGGAGGGTCCCCAGGCCAAGGTCACAAACCTAAGGAGTAGAGTGACCACGTGTCCTGGCTTCTGGGTGGGCCCTGCGGATGCCACACTGCTGCTGTGATTATTAACAGCAGCCTCTTCCACTGCAGGGCTCTCCTAGTTTGGGCAATAAAGCCTGTGACCCCCGCGAATAACATGGAGGTCCAGACACGTCCAACTCCGGGGCAGACGCTGGTCCTCCATCTGCCTTCCCAAGTGACGGGGCTCTGCCTTACTTCCGCGACCAGCATCCACCCTGAACCCTCCATGCCCCTCACTCCACTGCCCTGCACCCCACACAGCCACGCTGCCAGCCCAGCCTTTCAGAGAGCCTAGTCCTTGGAGGGTGTGACGCTTCTGGATCCTGCCGCTGACCTGAGGCTCCCAGGCGGGTGGGGCAGGAGAGCCCACTCACCTGCAGGCTGTCCGGGGCCGCTGGGACTGGGGACAGGCTCGGGGGGTGACTGCAACACCCCGCGGAGTCGTCAGAGTCGGCCTCGAAGTCCAGGCTGTGAATGGGGAGGAGGCGCTTTTTCTTGGCAGGCACAAGCTGGGCAAGAAGAGAGTCAGGGTCAGTGGACAGGGAGGACCAGACGCCCCTCACCCCGGACGTGGGGTGGGCCCTCGAAACCAATCAGATGAGCCCCAGCTCGGAAGCTGCACCAAAAGTCTGCCCAGAGCCCACCCACCCCTCACAGGGTCTGCATGCCCAGCACCCCTTACAGAGACGAGCAGAAGCTGCTGATGGACACGCGGCTGCCCACACATGCCCAGGACACAGGCCCCGGAAGGCGGCAGCCTTGGGGGTAGGTAGGCTTCGGGTTCCCCGCCCTTGGGGTTTTAGGCAAAAGAGGGGAGCCCGCTGGGGAGGCAGACGGGGGAAGGAGAACTTGTGCACATTAGATGCAAGGTCAGAGGTTAGCTCTGACCCCCTGACGGTTTCTGTCCTTCAGATGGATGTGTAGGGAAGAGTGCAGACACTGGGGAGTGTTCTGGAAGCTTAGGAAGTGGCACAAACAAACTTTTGTCATAAACAGATGCATATATTCCCTCCTCCCCCGCCCCCCAGAGCAGCCAGCTCGACCTGGCCAGCATTGCGTCTCTCTCCAAGTGGCTCCATCTATACTCACCATCGCCTGACCCACCCCTCCCTTCAACCTGCTCCCCTCCAGCCTGCTCCCCTTCAACTGCTCCCCTTCCATCATCCTACCCAGAAACCCTAGGGGTTACTTTGCGTGTCTTTATCACCATAAATAAATTAAAAATAAGTGAAAACAGAAACAAACACCAATAAAAACAAGGCTCATGTTTTGTCCTAGAAAAAAGCAAAAAAGCTCGCAGAGTCCGAGGGATTTATGTCCCTGTAAGGTGCAAAGGCCACCTTAGGATGACACTAGTGTGCCCCCTGGCCCCTGCCCTCCCAACCGTGCTCCAGCGGCCGAGGCCGAGGCCGAGGGCCAGGCAGTCTGCGGGTCTAGGCAGCCTTCTCTGCAGCCTCTGCCCACCCACAGCTTGCTAGGGCTTTCTCAGGTGCCAGTGACCTTGTGCTGAAAGTATTCTTCTCTCTGGTGCGAATCGTCCGCAGAGATGGTCCGGGCGTGGCAAAGGGAGGCAGAGCCTTAGCGCTCAGGCTATAGTGGAGCCATGGGAGCACTGAGACTTTTAGGAAGTCAGAACCCAAGGCTGCAGCCCCGGGAGTGGTGGGAGTGGTTGGGGAAGACTTACTTTGCTGCCAAGGGGATGGGTCTGAGCCCCTGTGTCCAGCTCTCCATCCGTATCGGAATGCTCACTGTCTTTACTTCTCTCTCCTGGGCTTGGCTCAGGCCCACCTGCAACAGACACCTGCATGACTCCATTTAGGGAGAAATAGATTGGAGGCAAACCCTTTGTCTCCCCCAAACCCCCGCACCTATCCTTCCATCCACTCACCCTCCCACCCACTCATCCATCCGTTCCTCATCCATCATCATCCATCCATCCACCATCCACCATCCATCCATTTTCCACTCACCATCCATCCATCGAAAAACATCCAGGCAAGACCCTCTGCTGACCTTACAATGACCTATCCGAGCATCAGTTAAAGCTGGTTCTCATCACAGCAGAAAACCAGTGCTCTGCATCAATTTTATCAGGGTCACACCTGCAGGTATTCACCCCACAGTTACTGACCCCTTGAAGGAGGCTTAGAGCTAAGTCTTGTTTTTCCCCAAGAAACCACTTCTCCCAGTTTCTTATCAGCAGGCCTGGACTCAGGCACAGCTGGGAGGGAGTGAGGCTCAGCCCCGGGGCCCTCTTCTTCCTTTCTCTGCCCCTCCTCTGCCCCCAGACGTGAGCACCAGCCAGCCAACTGGGGGCCCCTCTCTGAAGAGTGACAGTCTTGAAACTCACATCAAACAGCCAGACCGAGGGCATTGTGACGTGGACTCTGTCTGCATCGAGGGAATGTGGACATGGGTTTCCAAAGGCCCAGGTGTGTGTGACTGGTCAGGGTGGTGTCCCTGCCCCTCTGCTCGAAATGAGCAGGATCTCCACGACCCTTTGGTTATCAGCCCCTTACATAACCCTCTAAACCTGGAACAAGGGTTTGATATGAACCCACCTCTGGCTGTTGAGTCATGGGTAAAGAAACCCAAAGGATTTCCCATGTTCCTGACATGGAGCAGAGATTTCTTGGTGGGGAGGTGGAAATGAAGATAAGAGCATCTGAGCAAGAAGGACTTACGTGGACATCGGGTGAGCTATGTGCTCTGTCAGACAAACCTACAACTAAAGAGGAGGGGCTGAGAAGAAAGACGCCCTGCGGGGAGCTGTGAGCTCAAGGACAGGAGAGAGGCGGCTCCTCCCATCCACCTCCACCCACACTGCTTCCTGCAGCTCCTGCCATCCAGTCCTGGGGCTGCTGGGAAACCGCCGCTCGGCTGGCCCAGGGCGCCCCACAGCTGCACAGGGCCTGCAGCAGGTCCTGGCTGGGACTGCCATTGTCTGTCTACTTTCATTAGCCATACGGCTTCCCCAGCCTTGTGCTCCTTCCCTGCACCTTTCTCAGGGGATTGTGTTTTGGGGCCCCCAGCAGGGAGACAGTCCTGGGGGAGGTCACTGTAGGGACCTGAGACCTGCCTCCCCGGTGCCAGGAGCCTCTGCTGTGGTTGGAAGCAGGGTTCCTGCGGCCCCACAGCGCCACCTCCTGGCTCTCGGTGACAGTTTTGAAACTGGCAGGCTCCTGGCCACTTTGACTCACTCATTGAGCTCTGGACCCTGTGACCTTCTACGTCAGAGTTCTCAACCTGTGGGTCGCGACCCCTTTGGGGGTCGAACGACCCTGTCACAGGGGTCGCCTAAGACCATCGGAAAACACATATATAATTTCATATTGTTTTTGTGATTAATCACTATGCTTTAATTATGTTCAATTTGTAACAATGAAATGGGTCACCACAACATGAGGAACTGTACTAAAGGGTCACGGCATTAGGAAGGTTGAGAACCACTGTTCTACGTCATCCAGATTCCTGAGCCCACCCAGGTCCCTGGCAATCAGCACCACCCATGGCGGGGCCCAGGTCCTCAGGGCTCTGATGTGGCCTGTGGTTTCCTGCCACGCGCAGCCGACTTTGGGGGTGAGATTTCAGACGCTTTGCAGTGTGGCTCTTCCTGTGCTGCCTGTGGCTCCTGCCCCTGTGACCTGCCGAGGGCCCAGCCAAGCTCCTTCGGCTGCAGGGAGACCCTTCACTGGCTCCTGGCTGGCGGAGCAGGCATGGGAGGTGGGACTTTTTTGGGCTCCAGCCTGAGACAAAGCTATTAGCCCGGAAGAAGCAGCTTGAGGAAGAAAGGAGAAAGAACCCCCAAGAATGGGGAGACAGTCCCTCCCGTGTTGCTGGGGCCCTCCTAGTCACGTCTGTGGTCTCAGCATGGTTGTCAGGAGGCCTCTCTCACTCTTAAAAATGTCCTGGTTTGGAGATTTATCAATGTGTCGCCCTCCAAGTACTCCACCCAGGGAGGGAGGACCTGGGGACACAAAGCACGAACGAGGCCCGGCTATTCCATCAGCTGCCGAGTTTGAGAACCTTGGCTGTGAGTTCTCCACTTGCTACAGAGCTCTGAGAAAACACGATTTCAGAGGGTGGGGATGTCAACATGCAGGACTTCCCAGGGCCAGGTCCGGCCAGGGTGCAAAAGGCTGCACATCACTCAGCAAGCAGCCAACCCCATCAAAACACCAGGCACAGGGACTGACAGGTGCGCAGACGCAGGTGCCAAAGGAATCTGCTTGGTCCTGAAACAGTAAAACATGCCTGGGAGCAAAATGGGTTCCCAGATCCCACCCTTCCCTCCACCCACTCCTCACCTCCTCCTGGCAGCCGCCCGCAGAGGGACCGGATCACTTTGGCACTTCCGAAGCGCTTGAAGCGGGCCCTCACATGCCCATAGTACCACTCCAGGGAGCCCATCTTCACGACTCTGCAGAGAGATGGAACTCAGGCCTGCAGCACTGCTGTGCCCAACCACCACGCACATGTGCCCACCATTCTTCAGACAGCTCCTCACCCCACCAAAGGGACAAGCCATCCCTCAAAACCATCAGGGTCCCTGGATCTCCGGACCCTGCTCACCTGGCCAGGTGACAGGGGTGGCAGAGCCAGCCCTCCTCCTCGGGGTGGGCGTGGCTGCAGCCTTGGCAAGTGAAGAGGCGGCAGTCCAGGCACTGCCGTTTGGGGGCCTCCAGGAGCCGGTAGGGCTGCAGGCAGTGGGCACAGTGGGTGTCGCTCAGGAGGGCCGCGTCGGAAACCAGCTCCCTCTGGGAGCTCTCCTTCTTCACCTTGCCCTTCAGGCCCCTGAGGGAAACATCAGAAACAAGGAGCACGGTGGACATCTCGTTGCAACAGTCTCTGAATGTGTGAGCACACACAGGATCCTTCTCACACACCAACACGCTGGATTCAAACGTGCATATGGGTAGGTGGGAACTTATTTTTATAGACATGAAATGGCATTTAAACCTTTCTGTGACTGTTCACAATTGTGTATTTTCCCAGGATGCACATGCATGACTTTTATGCGTTGTCAAAGCAGCCACAAACCACAAAGGTCCCGAGTCACAGGCTGGGACAGGTCCCACCGTTGCCTGCACCACCTCATGTAGCTCAGCATAACAGAAAGAGGCGGTCAGGGGTCCCGGCCCACGTTCAGGTTGAAGGTCCTGGGCCCACATTCCTTCTCCAGCTCTGAGCTGGAGCCCTGAGCTTGCTGACGCAGAGCTCAGAGCTGGGGGGCCGAGCTGAGTGTCCTGGTTGGCTGAGTGAGCGTCTGGTGTCTAGTCTGCCTGAGATGGGTGGGTTGGTGGATCAGGCTGGTGGTTCTGGTCAGGCCACATGGTTCTCCAGAACTCATCTGTTCCTAGTGTAATTATGGAAGAGGAGGTTAGAGAAGAGAAAGACGCAAGTGGCCGATGAGCTGGACAGAGCGGAAGTCACAGAGAATGCAGAGAAAAGGCTCATTAGATGGCGGGTGAGGCCGACCCTGTGCCCTGTGAGGCCCCGGCCAGTCACGTCCACTCTGCCACACTGACCTGAGCTAATGGCCCTGAGCTGAGGACAATTCCCACTGGGTGCACGTCAGGCTGGCACCCTGCGGAGAACGCCGATGGGTCACTGAGCTGCTGTGGTCACAGAGTCCCGAGGGCAAAGCCAGCGGGCATTTCCTCAGTAAGTGGTTTGGGTCTCTCCCAGCAGGGGAGCAGGCTGAGCTGACTCCCACCTTTGTCCTTGTAGAGCATGGTTAGGATGGGTCCCTTGAAGGGTGTCCAGAGCAGGCCCGACCCCAGAGTCCCAGGAGGACCACAGTCCTAGACCATCGGGGCTGCAGTAACAGCTTCCTGGTGAACCCGCCAGCTCAAACTGCCTGGGAAACGTGCCCCCAGATAATGAACATGTCCCCTTTGTTCTATCTCAGAGAACGTCTGCCAGATGTAATATTTTAGTTTCAGATGAGATCAAATTAATCTGTTCTTAGTGACACAATTGGACAGACACAGGTGCCATTGTCCTCTGAGAAGGCTGCACAGTGGCGGGGCCCCAGAGGTTGGTGAGGCTGCGGGCAATGGAGGGATTCCGAGGAGCTCCGGAGACCAGCGCTGGATCAGGCAGGGTTGACCGCACCTCACCTATTTCCCTCTCCCAACGGTTATGAAAATACTCACCAAGTTAGACACAACAATAAGACTCTTGTCTCAGCTTTGAAACCATATGCAACACACACACACACACACACACACACACACACACACACCACTCACACAAAGGCCAAGTGGTTGTAAAATCTAGGGGGATGCTGTCATCCACTGACCACAGTCTTGATAAAGCCGCACGGACAAGGCCAAGTCTTTGCCTCAAACAGAAGACCACAAGGCCCCTGGAGCCAGGGGGAAGGATCCGGTGGCCTCCATTTCCACTCTTGCTGTATCTGCATCAGCCAGAAAACCTAGAGGCCACCCTTTGCTGATGGGGCCTTACCCAGCCTGGCTTACCCCCTTCTCCTTCGAGGCAGAGCTGTACCTCGGGCCCCTCCCAGCAGGAAGAAAGACGAGGGCATGTGGAGGCACCCTGCATCACAGAATGTGAAGTCCTCTTAAATAAGAGCCCAGTAGAGGCCTGGGGGTGGCTGGAGACTGATACGTTTCGGATGCAGAATTGGGGGAAAGGGTAATTATATTCCACTCAGACTCTTTCAAGCATAACACCCCTTCTTCAGAGCTGGAGAGCAGGAGGGGACGGAAGAGGAGGCCCGGTGGGGGTGCAGCAGAGGAACCCCAGGTGATGCCTGCAGCGCAGGGCATACCAACCCCACCTGGAGCTTCAGATCGGGAGGAGGTGAGTGGGGCCAGAGCCACCACACGCCGACACCAGTTGACCAGATGTCACTGCAGTACAGCAGGCAAAAGCCCAACATGCAGCTACAAGTGAGAGCCACCTTCTGGAATAGAAGACACCTCAAATGGGATTCACTGTCAGAAACCAAGGAAGACTTGAAAGGAGTCTGCCTGGTGTGCTAATTGGGGCGAGAGATGAAGGAGCAGGAGATAAAGAGCCAGGCTGAGATGGAAGGAGGTAGTGTCAAGGGGTTGCTGTCCTCTGAGGGCAAGTGATTTGATGCAAGCATTTCCCTTTCAAGACAGGAGGAGGAAGTGATAGGATGTGGAGGGAGAAGGCTAGAGGGCCATGGAGATGTCACACCCCCATGTCCTCATTCTGCCCCTCTTGGGGTTGAATCCAGTGGGGAGTGTGGTGAAAACGTGCAAGAGTACTGGGGACAGACCAGGACATTAGGGGTTGGTGGCACACCCCTGCGGACGGAGCTGGGGAGGACCGCGTGGTGGCTGTAGCTCCCAGGCCAGCCCAGCCAGCCCGGCCAGCCCGGCCAGGACTTCTGCTCTCCAGCACTTGTGCTGGCTATTGGGGTGAATCCCTACCCTGAGACCGTGCCCCAGCAGGACAGTGCTGAGAGGACCAGGGGGCGGGCAGGGTCTGGGGGTTGGTACGAAGAGGCCATAGCATGCAGGGTAGATGATGGGGGTCAGGATCTCAGTGTGGGTGCCAGCCACGACCATTCACTCACGGGCGATGGTCCCCACCCTGGAAGCAGACTCGACCCTCCACTCTGCATCAGGGACCAGTCAGGAGCCAATGGACAGTGTGTGGAGCCAAGACCCCATCAACTCTGTCACCTTGAGGGCCATGGGCTCCTGCCGGTCACCCACGCAGACTTAGCCAAAAGCAGGGGTGGGTAGAGGTGCTCTAAAGAGAAGACTGTACCCAGAGAAGAGGTCAGAGCAGCGTCTGGGATATGGAACCCACAAGCTTACAAGTTCTTGCTGACTGAGGGCGGGGACCCATGGGTGAGGTGAGGTAGGTAACAAATGAGCTGGCTGTTCTCTGCACAGCTTGTCTGGGTGGGAGTGAGTCTTGGCCCTGCCACAGAACAGCAATCACCTGAGAACACACTAACGCTCACCGACCAGGACACAAGAGGAGCCGGACCTTCGGATTCTTGTTGGCCACACACACCTGGACACAGCCATGCAGTTACAGGAGGCAGCGAGTTCTGAGCCGGCTACGTCTAATGGAACCAAGTCAGGCTGGCTCATGGCTTTGCTGCCAGGCTGGGCAGCAGGTTCCTGTGGCTGCTCTAACACATTTCCACAAAGGTAGTGGCTTGAAGCAACACCAGTTTATGACCTTACAGTTCTGAGATCAGAGGTCTGACCTGGTGTTCCTGGGCTGAGATGGAGTTGTGGGCAGGACTGTGATCCTTCTTGGAGGCTCTGGGACCTGTCCCCTTTCTTCCCAGCTGCCAGGGCGCCTGTATCCTCTGTCTGGCCCTTCCTCGGTCTACAGAGCTGGCTGTGGTGGCTGAGTTCTTCTCACAGGGACTCTCTATGGCTCTCCTGTGCTCCAGCCTCCTCCTTTCTCCCACCTGTCTCCACGTCCAGGTCCAGGGTCACCTCCCCATGTCCAGGTCCAGGGTCACCCCCCACGTCCAGGTCCAGGGTCACCCCCCACGTCCAGGTCCAGGGTCACCCCCCATGTCCAGGTCCAGGGTCACCCCCCATGTCCAGGTCCAGGGTCACCTCCCCATGTCCAGGTCCAGGGTCACCTCCCACGTCCAGGTCAGCTGTTCAGCAGCCTTAATGGCACCCGCAGCCTTAATTCCCTTTTGCCGTGTAACCTAACATTTTCACAGGCTGGGGGGACCTGGATGTGGATGTGTTGGGGGGCTTATTATTCTTCCACAGTGCTGAGGGGAAAGAAAGTGAGGCCTCGCTCCCAGCCGAGAGATTCCCAAATATAAAACCCACAGGCGGCCCCTCCTGAGAGCAGCCTGAGGTGTGTGTCCTCCAGAGGCTGGAAGCCAGGGGCAAGTCTGACCCCAAGGAGGGGCTATAGCCAGAGAACCAAGTCACAGAGAAGAGACAGAGTTATTAAAAGTAAGGTGACCACAGTAAACCTGCCTGTTAGAGGTCGCCGCTGAAGGAGGCAGACCTGGTGCAGTGAATATCAGACAGCAGGGATGGGAAGCTAAGCCCCTGGCATCCGAGCAGACGTCGGGAATTAGTGTGGGAAATGGAACTTGTTGGCGCTCTCTGAGGTCCTCTGAAGAGAATGACCGATGGCGACAACAATGATAAAGGGAACAGTGGTGGTGAACGAGGCACCGAGAGAGCCCCCGAACCTCCTGAGCGATCTCGCACCCAAACTCCGGGCCCTGCTGCCTGCTCTCTCCCTGCTCCAGCCTCTGTCTATTCAGCCCTGGAGTCTGTCTGGGTGCCAAGTGGCCCGCCTGGTGGTGACTTCAAATTCCTACTGTTGTCGTTGTTGTTGTTATTTGTTTTTAAGGTGAGCCTTGGTCTGCCATGCCTCAGGCTGGGCAATGTTGCATGATTATCTCAGGAATGCAGGCCTGTTTGCAGACGTTACAGATGCCTGTCACCAGCTGTTTGCCTTTCCAGGGCAGACTCCCAGGCCTAATATTTGACTTGTGGGCCGGCCCCTGAAAAAGGCATCGGTTAGGTAAGCTGCCATCCTCACCCAGGGGCGTGAGTCCCCAACTCCGGCTCTGCAGTGTCATTCTCTGGGTTTAGGAAAACCCAGTAATTCTAAACACAGTTTAGAGGCCCCTCGATAGCGCAGGGAGCGTGACTGAGAGGACCTCAGATGAGCAGAGAGAAGGCAGGGCGCAGGTCAGCTGTGAGTACGTGGGCCCCAGCGCACCAGGTGGAGGCCTGCTTCTGCCCCAGGCTGGCGGGCCACCGCGGGGCTCTGCGTCTTCCCGAGAGAGGGAGTGAAGAAGCTGGGACGACCGACTGGATGCTCCCCTCAAGAAGCTTACCCTGGTGCTCCTTTGTGTTTAGTTTATGTGCCATTAAACACGAAGCATGATCATCTATGTGTAGTTAAAGCCTTTTTAATACCCAGTTACCATGAATGACTGCAGAACACTTACAAGATAAATAATACAAAGCAGTATGCAGCCAGGGCCCCACCCACATTCCCACTGTTAGCAATTCCTGATACTCTTTAGAGCCGGGGACTGCCTGGTCCTCAGTGTCCTCATCTGTGACTGGGGAGAACACAGCAGTCACACTGTGGTGTTGCCTGAGCAGTAAATGAGGTGTTGTGAGGTGTGGTGGCTGTTTTATTTTATTATTTTTTTCTTTCATCCATCCCCCTCTGCCCTCCCTTTGGTAACCATCAGCATGCTCTCTGTATCTGTTTTGTTTATTCATTTTTTAAAAAAAATTCACATGTAAGTGAAATCCTATGATATTTGTCTTTCTCTGACTTATTTCACTGAGCATAATACCCTTTAGGTCCATCCATTCGGTCGTAAGTGGTAAGATTTCATTCTTCTTCATGGCAGAGTAACAGTCCATTGTATGTATGTAGCACATCTTCTTTGTCCGTGTCTATTGATGGGCACCTAGGTTGCTTCTATATCTTGGCACCTGTAAATAATGCTGCAATGAACATATGAACATATAGGGGTGCATATATGTTTTCAAATTAGTGTTTTTTTTTTCTTTGAATAAATACCCAGAAGTGTTATTACTGGGTTGAATGGCAACTCAATTTTCAATTTTTTGAGGAATCTCCATACAGTTTTCTACAGTGGCTGTATCAGTCTGCATTCCTACCAACGGTGCATGAGGGCCCCCTTTTCTCCACATCCTCACTGACACTTGTCGTTTGTTCATTTATTGATGACAGCCATTCTGACAGGTGTGAGGTGATATCTCATTGTGGTTTTAATTTGCATTTCTCTGATGATTAGTGATGTTGAGCATCTTTTCATATGTTTATTGTCCACCTGTATGTCCTCTTTGGAGAAGTGTCTATTCAGGTCCTCTGCCCATTTTTTTTATTGGATTGTTTTTTTAATTTGGTGTTAAGTTTTACAAGTTCTTTATATGTTTTAAATATTAACCCCTCAGCAGATGTATTATTGGCAAATGCCTTCTCCCATTTATTAGGTTGTTCTTTTTTTTTTTTTTTTTGCTTTGTTGATATTTTCCTTTGTTGGGCAAAAACCTTTTTAGTTAGATGTCGTCCCATTTGCTTATTTTTTCGTTTGTTTCCCTTGCCAGAGGAGATGTATCCAAAAAGATATTACTAAGACCAAAATCAAAGAACTTACTGCCTATGTTTTTCTTCTAGGAGTTTTATGACTTCAAGTCTTACATTTAAGTCTTTAATCCATTTTGAGTTTATTCTTGTATGTGGTGTCAGAGGGTGGTCCAGTTTTGCCTCTTTTGTCATAGATTTATTGACCATGTGTGCAGACTTATTTCTGGGCTCCTTATTCTATCCCCGTGGCTGGCAAACTGCAGCTCGCGAGGCACATGCGGCTCTTTGGCCCTTTGAGTGTGGCTCTTCCTAAGCCTTAGGAGTACCCTAATTAAGTTAATAACAATGTACCTACTTATATAGTTTAAGTTTAAAAAATTTGGCTCTCAAAAGAAATTTCAATCGTTGTACTGTTGATATTTGGCTCTGTTGACTAATGAGTTTGCCGACCACTGTTCTATCCCATTGGTCTATACACCTGCTCATGCCGGTGCGATGCTGTTTTGATTATTGTAGTTTTGTGGTACATTTTGAAACCAGTGAGCGTGCTTCCTCCCACTTTGTTTTTTCTCAAGGTTTCTTCATCCCAGATTAGCTGATATTCTCCACAAGAACTAAACCCCACGGGGGAAGGAAGGATTTAAAGAGAACATGAGCAGCAGGAATGTTGCTTTCCCAAAGGGCCTTCTGCTCTCAGTAGCTGGTTTCTTGCACCAGAGGCTGGAATCACCTCCCAGGAGCCTCACTTGTCGTCCTCCCTCCCTCTCTGCTTCCTTCCAGCACATCATACACCCGCAGGGGGGCCTCGAGGACAGTGAAGGCCAATGCCACTGGAACATCAAAGACGGAGGAGCCCCTTTGAGCAAAGCCTCTGTTGTCACCGTCCCTCTCCACACAGGGAAGTGGCCGCACCTATGGCTCACAGCCCAAGCCCTGCACTGGTCAACAGACTTGGGATCAGGATGTCCGTTCTCTCACACAAATGTCAATCCTGTTCAAGGCTCAAAGTTCATCCACAGTTAAGACCCACGTCCCCATGGCAATGCCCTGCCCAGACTCCATCCTAAATCCTTCTGATGCCAACGTTGTTAATGTCCAAATTTTGTACAACTTTGAATTTTTGATTCTTTGGTGCTCAGCACTGTAACCTGATGGGAAGCCAGGAATAACATCACACCCTGTACAGTAAACACCCCACTCCCAAGTCCCTGGTCGAACACGCCAACTTCAGGGAGAGATTTTATCTGCCTGGGCTAAGTGAAAGGCGAGGTGGCCTCCCACTTCCTTCTCCTCCACTTCCTGAAGCTGCCTGCCAGGGGGCCTGCCGCTCAGGAGCCAGACCCCAAGGGAAATTCCTTCCTGGCAGCTCAGAGGAAAGGCGCACGCAAGGTCAGTGCTGTTGGCAACCCTGTTCCCTGGAATAAAAACACATTCTCTTTGGAAAGCCATTTAGGAGGTACACGGTGGAGAGGGGCCAAGGCCTCACGCCTCTGTGTCCCCAGGGGGACTTTGAACGTCTTTGGCACAGCCTGGGGAGCCTGAGGCCTGGCCGAGGGGTCGGAGGCTTTGTGTCTTGGGAATAGTCTGGTCATACAGGGGTTAGTAAAACTGGTCTCACAGCCCCATGGCCTTCCATCCTTGCCAATGTCAGGGACCTGGGCAAGCTCATTTGTCAGTGCCGGGAGGTCCGCTGGTCTGACCCTGCAGGGGAGGTGCCGGGTCTTTCCCAAACCTGCCCAACATCCTTTCCAGGGGACCGACGCTCCTATTTGGAGAGAAACCCACCTAATACTCATTTCTGTTAACTCTGTAAATATAAAAGGAAACACTTCTTTTGTTCTTTGATTGTTTTCAGTTGGTAAACTTGGTGAGTTGTCTGTTTAGCAAGTTGCCTTTTGGCCAATTTGCTCTTGGTGAACTGACCTTGAGCCCACATGCTGTGTCTATAGACACCGGACAGGGACGTGATCTCCAAAGAACGGGCATGTTTGCTTCTTGGTTTCACAATTCCCCCCCTAATTACTGTGCTCTGTTTCCTGCTTTCCCCCAGACCTGGTCTAACGGTGCCTTCCCCAGGTGAGGAGACAACTCCATCCTCTCAGTTCCTCAGGCCATGACCTTGGCGTTACCTTGGGCTCCTCCCATACTCTCCACCCCACATCCAATCTGAAGGCAAATTTGCTGGCTCTCCCTTCAAAATACAAGTGACTGCGGCTCAGTAACGCACAGCCTGTAGAGCAGAGGTCTGGTCCTGCTGGTCCCCTGCTCACACGCCTCCAGGTCAGCAGAGGCCTGAGAGAAAGACCCAGGGCCTGTAAAGGTCCATGGAGCCCACATGATGCCACCATGACCTCCTCTCCCTGCGCTGCCTGGAGCCCTTGGAAGCATTCTCTTGGCTACTCCCTCACCTCCTCGAGTATTTGCTCAAATGTCTCCTTCTCAGTAGGCCTACCAACCCCCCAAAATACCCAGAGGAGATAACAAGGAGCTCAGTGGAAGCCAAGCGTTAGAGGTTGGGAGGAACATGCAAGGTAGGAGGGCGTTAATAATGCTTGTGGGCTTTCGCTCAGTTGGATGGGGGCCACCAACGCGATCAGAAAGGAAGGTGGAAAGTCAGCCTCGACTGCCAACCCCTCCATCGCAACATTTGGGCGTTTCAGAATGGATCCAGTCATTACCCCTTTGTCACTGTTCATTCTTGCACTTTGGTGGACCCTGCATCACCCAGTTTGGGGACAACGTTACCCTGGAAGCTGGATCAAGCTGAAATAAAACTGCTTAAGGCACACCTAAAAGTCAGGTTGCAGAGTCAGGGCCCTCGTTTTAATTATGAGGAAACCGAGGCCAGAAGGAGCGTTTCCCAGCACCTGGCTTCCGTCGATGCCGCTCACCCACCCAGTGAGCCCGGGGTGTGGCGGACTCGGGCTCCGTGGGCTCAGCCCCACGCACTTACTCCAGTCTCTCCTCTTCTTTCCGCCTCAGCTCAAAGTCCCGCTGCACCACTTCCCAGACGTGCTTGGCCTCTTCATCCGTGAGCTTGGAAAGGTCCAGCTTTTTCCCCATCGTGGCTCCTCGTCAGGCTCACACCTGGAAAATCACAGGATCATAGCGTCAGCCCAGGAAGCCCGCGATGCTGGCTGACTCACGGAGCACCAGGCAGCACCCAGAGTCCGGGTTCCCAGGCAGCCTGTGGGTACCTGGGCTAAACAGGCAACGAAACAAACCTGTGTAGCATTCCCACACCCTGCTTTTAAAAGGGATCGACTTCCGCCTCCTGACCCTCACACCTGTAGACCCGAGTTCCTAATTCTCTTTTCACTGTGGAGTAAGTGTCATGATGCCAAGGGACACCTCCTTCCCCCGTCCTATGCCGTGCTTTGTGATGGGACCCCAGGTGTGATCCCGGGGTCTCGCCTTAGGGGTCCTGGGAGCCGGAACAGCCCTGCTCTGGGGTATGATTTGTTGGATGAGGTTCCGCTGTGGTGACCGTTTGTAAACCACCTGTGACATCAGCAGGACATCCCTGGGGCCTGAAATCCATCCTCCCGGGAATGTCCGAGAAGGGACCAACCGTCTGCTCTCCTGGGGGGCCTTCAAGTCAAAGGGAAGATTCCACCGGCTGCTGAACACGGGGAGCATCTCCCTCAGGCTGCTGACCATGGAAGTGCTCACTGTGGGAACAGACTTCCTTTTCTTGCGTAAGAGGTTAATTATGAAAAGTAACATGTGCCAAGCAGCACTTGGGTACACTTGAGATGAAAATTTCCACAGAGATCCCATGCTGTCGACTAGAATGTCCCCTGGCTTGTGCCTTAAACTTGATGGAAAGCAACTTCCATTTTCTGCCCGACCCCTCTGGGTCTCCACCCTCAAGCGCAGTCTGACTGTGAACCCCCTGGGGAGGGGCCCTGAGTGCCAGGATCATCCAAACTGTCCTCAGTAGAGTTGAACTTAGATTCTGGATCAGAAAACATGAAAACAAAACAGATTTTTGATGCTTTCCGGAGCACACAGTTTCTGGGTTTAAAAAAATTGGAACAAAAAGTTATTTGATGGATGACTGGGATGTATTCAGTTCTGTTTTTTTTACCACTTTTGAAAAAAAATGTTGTATCCTAAGAAGCTCATTCTTTGAAATCCTAATTTCAGAGCAGAGGAGAGTGCGTGACCATCAGCTGAGCAGTGACATCCCCCTCCTGGGGATGAGGCCCACGCTGGCTCCTGGCTGCCGAGAGCGAGGCCTGCCAGGAACATGCTGAGACGTGACCGGGCGGCCACAGCAGATGGGGCACACAGCCGCACCCGCGCCCACGGGAACCGTGGCATTACGGCCTAATACCACCTTGAAGGCTCCGACAATGAGCCTGAGTTCTTAAGGAAAGCGACATGTGTCCACGGCACTCTGTGTAATAAAACAGTGATGTGGAATATGCATTTTGAAACATGCATCCCACATAGTTAACCCATGACCAGACTGTTGCTACTTCATGGGTTAGACAGAACCTGAAACATTTTTACCCAAGTGCTTATTTTTGGTTCTGGCCCAACTCCAGGGTGAGCAGCAGGGGCAGGGAGAGGACTGGAGGGAGAGGGACTCCAGGTTCCTGTGCCATGCGGCAGGGAGGCGATGCTTCGAGGGCGCGGTTCCTAGGACAGCCGGGGTTGAGGGCCAACGGTCCTCGACATGTTCTTTATATATTGTGACCTTATCCTCCCATTTAGCAGATTCACAAAATGCTTAAAGCTTAAAAAAAACCCTATGTTTAGAAAATAATCTTAAATTGAATGAAGAATATGTTTGACTTCAGCATCTAAAATACACACACCCCAATTCACTGGCATTTAGGGGAAGTGCTGTTAGTACGCCCTCTGGCTTGCCTCAGGTTGGGACATGGACAGGGACATTGCAGTACGTGGAAGAGCCAGCCCCTCTGCCAGGCACAGCCTTGCCCCGGGGCCTATGTGGGCTCAGGGAGGGGACAGCCTTTCAGCCCATCACTCCCTGCTTCCTTGCTCACCCAGGCCCGATCTCCAGCTGGTACCCCTGACCCACAACAGTCAAGGGCAGCCCACGGAGGGTGCAGGGCTGCTGTGGCGCCTGGCCTGCAGGGAACCTCCCAGGATGCACGTGTTGGGAGGGCAGCTCCAACCCCCAGGCTCTATCTGTCCTCCGCCCCATTTCGGTGGAGATAACTCTGAGTCATGAGGTTCCTGAAGAAAACACTTTCAGTTTGCGCCTGTTCCCACTGCTCAGAGCTAATCACACTTTTCATCTTTGAGACTGAATAGTTACAATGCAGAGAAGAGGGGCTGACATAGAGGGGAAAGCGCTGGAAAGACACAGCGGAACTGGTTTTATAAAATGAATATCCTGGACCCAGAATACAGAATCTCAGTGGTGTGTCGTCTTTATTGTTAAAGGTTTGAGTTCATCCTTTGGCTGAATTAAAGGGAGATGGGGCGGGGGTTCCTCCTTCATGACACTAGGCTCCACCACATCTTGGGCGGCTGCTCCCTAAGCCTTGGCGCAATGGTGATTATGAGCCATCACCGCCTGAGCAAATAAAACCAGGGAGCCAGTCAACGTCCCTCGCTGAATGCCCAGCTAAGAGTGGCAGGAATGCTCGCTGACTCAGAATCCAGGTGTGAGGTGCTGTTCTTGCTGATAAAGGTGCAGGGACACGCCTGAAGGAACGCACAGGTGCCAGTTGTGGGATCTCTGCATTCACCTTTGTAGCTGTTTCCCAAATGCTGCCCCCAGAGCTGGGCCTGCCGCCCATTGGTAGGACCCAATCCCCCAGCCCTCATCAGCTGCAAAATGAGCACATTCCCAGGGGAAGTCCCTCCTCCCTGCAGGTCACCGGCATACCTGGGGTACAAGAAGAGGCTCTGAGGTCACTCCAGCACTGACACTGGGTGGGCACTCTGCAGCCTGCCCATTCCCTCTGCCCTCCCAGGTTCCTCATTTATACACGGACAACAGGTCCTGCGTTTGTAGCGAAGGCCTCAGCTCCAGTGTCCTCAGCAAGGATGGGTCCCAGGCTGAGGCTGCAGGACGATGGGGGGCTGAGAGTCAGGAGCTGGCTTCCCATCCCAGTTCAGGCACCAGCCGGCCCTGTGACCTGGGACAAGTTCCTGGGTCTCAGCTTTCCCATCTGTACCATGGACAACGGTCGGGCTCCCGGACCGCTCTGGCCCTCTCCAGCCCTGTATGATGCCCGGATGTTAGAATAGAAGGGGGGTGGCGGGTAAGAGGAGGGAGGAAGGGGAGAGCTCTTGGTCCAGAGGTTGCTTCTAAAAGAATGAGACAGTCAGACCTAGCAGACTGACCCAACCACAGGAGCAGCACTGCAGTCTCATCCAGGGCCACCAGAGCCACCTTTCCCACCTGCCTCCTTTAACCCCCAATCTCCCGCCAGACCCACTCAGCTGCTGGTAATTTCCCGTCACTAATGCCTTAATCAGTAAGATCCCCGCCTGCTCATCTGGGTGCCTGGCCCTGTCCTCGCCTGCGGGCCAATGTCTCGGCTCAGCTCCCATGGTCCGCAGGCTCTGGCTCTCTCCCTGGATTTCACCTCCATGGGCAGGGTCAGCCTTTGCGGCTAGTGGGCTACTGGGGGCCTCCCTTCCCCCCATTATCACTCCAACCTCTGAGAAAGAAATATGTATATAAGATTAAAACACAAAAAAGACAAAAAAGATCTAATGGCCCCAATCCAACTGAAAAGGAAGCGGGTTTTTAAATTTGGTTAAGGTCTGAGCCTATGAAATCTTTGGGGATTTATAAGGAGGGTATCGCTCACAGACTCTCCCCCTATCTCTACAACAGGGTGGATGGGCTGGGATGGAGCCTGGCAGCAAACGAAAGAGGATTTGGATAAACCCGGGGCTTCTGGAGGTCAGGGCGCATCCTCCCCTGCCAGGACACCCCCAGGGCCCTGACCCCAAGATCTGCAGTGCAGGGCAGCAGCCCAGGAGGAAGTATTTACCCAAGCAGCCTTGGGCCCCTGGGCATCCAGCCCAGTGCCAATCCTCTCAGGTCCCAGCCCCAGCTCAGTCCGCCCCCCTCACCCCCAATAGGGTTTGTAATTAAAAGCACAGTTTTCCTCAAAATGGCCTGCTGACCAGAGTATCCGGGTGAGGTTTGGGGTTCCGGGGGCTGAGCAGGATTTCCTCACCAGCCTGGAGCGAGGCCAGGGGATCACTGGGGGCCTTTCCACACCATTATAGCTGCACACTTCTCCGCGGACCCTCCCGGAGCCTGGGCCACCAGTCCTGGGCACTGGTGCCCAACCGTTCCCTCTTTTCCTCGCACTCACCGACTCTTTCCCTGGCCGTGCGGGCCCTGCTTTGGACGAACCTGGGCGTCTGGTCGGGGCGCACGGGGGCAGCAGGGCGCAAGGCACAGGGCAGGAGCTCTGGATTGCCTGGGCCTGGAGGGCAGCGGGGAGGTCCGGGTGCTGCCCGCTGGGTCACGTGGGCTGCGCCCCGCCCAGCTCCGGGAGCGCGGGCACCTCGGGGTGCTGGACCGGGCGGAGGGCCGAGCAACCCCAGTGCCCGCGCGGGAGGCGCCCGTGCAGGGCCTCTCGCTCCTCGCCCCAAGCCAGCTTCGGGGAGAAAGGCGGCGGCAGGAAGCGGGGTTGAGCCCACAGCTGGCGAGTCGCGTGACTTTGCCGGCGATGCGGCCGCGGGGTCCTGCCCTCAGTGCGAGGACTCCTGCTTGCCCGAACGTTCCGCGGAGCGCGCGGCACCTCGTTTAATTCCCATCCCAACTCTGCTGGGAGGACGCTATTTACTCCGGCTCTACAGATGGGGAAACGGAGGCTTGGAAAGAGCCTTAGACAAAGACAAGAACTAAGTGGGAACACTAGCTGGGAAGTGGGACTTTGCGCCCAGGGTTTCCTCGCGCAGATCCCGCGCCTCTCACCGCCTTCCATCCTGCCTGGCATCAGGACGCCCCTGGACCGGGAGCCCACAGCGCCGGGAGCCCCTCCGCGGAGAGGGCACCCAGTCTTGCCCACCAAGAAAGGTCCTGCAAGTCAGAGTCGCGCTCTGGGCGGAGTCAGGCTCCGCGCGCAGACGGGGCGGGGCGCACTCGGGGACGCGCGCCTGGGCTGGGCTGGGCCTCCTCCGAGCCCTGCCTTGGCTCCTGGGCGCTTCACACCCAGCCCTTCTCAGGTGCAGCCACCCTCTGCAGCTCACAGGGCTTGCACCGCCTTCCAAATCCCATCTTCTCTCTCTCCTCCGGACTTGGGCGCAGAAGAGCACTCTTTCTTCTTCCACTCACTTACCATTAAAATAAAATTAAAAATTAAACAAAAAGCACATGCTTTCCCCTGGAACTACTTTTGAAGCTCAGTTTCCATGTCTGCACCATGGGGACAGGAATACAAAGAAATCCAGTGCTGTTAGGTGAACAGTTGTTATGAGAGGAAACTAAACCTCCTAGGACAGTTGTGCAGGCGGGAGCACTGGAGGTGAACTTGGGTATTTTAGGCCCCAGGACCACATTAGGATGGAGGCACGAACCAAACACCGTCAACCCGTCTGTGCAGACCCTGGAGGTGGGAGCAACTTACACCCGTTTCCACAACCCCTGTGAGTGGTTCTTAGGTCTTTCATTTCCTTACCATACACTTCACAATGCTTGCAAAATTAATAGCGTCTTCCCAAAGTGGGTATTGGAACTGTAAGTTCCTTAATGGTAGATTTTTATTGTTGTTGTTAATCCTCTCCTGAGGATATGTTTTATTTTTGTTGTTTGCTTTTTTTTTTAGAGAGAGTGGAAGGGGGGGGGAGACACACACACACACACACACACACAGAGAGAGAGAGAGAGAGAGAGAGAGAGAGAGAGAGAGAGAGAGAGAAACATTGATGTGCGAGAGGCAGATTGGTTGCCTCCCACACTCGCCCCAAACAGGCAGGGGTTGGAGCCTGCAACCGAAGCATGTGCCCTTGACATGAATCAAACCCGTGACCCTTCAGTCCAAGGGCCAACGCTGTAACCACTGAGCCAAACCTGCTAGGGCCTTAATGGTAGATTTAAAAAAATTTTTTTTTATACTTTAGTATTTATTTATTTAAATTAGCATGTTTTCAAGATCTATAAAATGGATATGTGGTAATATATGATAAAGATATATGGTAAAGAATATAAACAGTCTAAATGAAAAGTCAGGTTTGCTTATTCCTATTCCTCAGAGGCAATCTTGATGAATACTGTCTGTGTTTCCTTCTGCAGTTTGTGTGTGTGTGGTTAAGCATGTGGGCTCGCCAAGCAACTGCAAGCATTAGACGCAGGGCTGGGTGTGTTATCCTGGCTGTGTTTACAGAAATCTGCTCTCCTGCCCCTTCAGGGCAGGTGGTGCTGATGCCCAGTCCCAGAGTTTAATGGTAAGGGTGCCAGTGTAGGTTTTCCAGATAATAAGAAAAAACAGGCTGTCCAGTTAAACTTGAATTTTACAGAAACAATGAACAGAGTTGTTTTGTTTTGTTTTTTAGTATAAGTGCATTCTAAATATTTCATGGGGTATACTTATTTATAAAAAATATAATTTATTTTTCTGAAATTCAAATTGAATTGGGAATCTTGTATAGACCCCAGAGTTGTAACGGGAACACCCTGAAAAGGTTTCCTATGCCAAAGTCAACGTCCTGATAGGTGGAGCCCTGTGCCCTGGGATGGGGACATTTGGGTGGACGAGTCTGAGTTTGAACCCCTTGATTACCCAGACTCCTCTGGGCACGGAGCAGCCCCTTTCCTCTTCCCAGAGGTGCTGGTGCCCAGACACTGTGCGAACACCTCCCCTGAGAAGGACGCCTTACAATAGGATGTTTGTTCCCAAGACCTGTCCCCATCTCTCCTTATTTCCTCTAGAACAACGACTAGGGCCAGGTCTCAGCAAAGCCCAGGTGGGAGAATAAAGTTCCTGCTCTGGGAATAAATGGCATTTTCACTGACAAAATCATGGTCCTGGATACTGTGTATCACCAAACACAGGGGAAATGTGTACAGATAGACCTCGAGTATCACCAAACACAGGGGAAATGTGTACAGATAGACCTCGAAGATACTGCATTGAGTTTACTGATTTGGGAGAAATCTCCTTATCTCAAGACTTGTTTCCCTGGCCAGGACACTTGGAAATTATCCCAGTACATTGCTGAGATAGCTCTGCAAGTGTGGGCGCAATGGAAAAGAGGTGCAGATGCTGCTGCCTTGCTAGAGCATGGAGTAAGAGCTTAGCAGGCTTATGGGGCAGGAGTGAGAGAACGGATGTATTACGTAAGACCAGACACTCCACCAGGACTCTGTTCCCTGAGGGCCCAGAGGACCCTCCCCTCACCAGCCCCTGAGCAAGTGACCTGGAAGGCTGATAGGTGGGCATGAGGCTCGGAGCGTGGGAGGGTTCTGCCCAGGATGGGAAGACTGGAGACTGAGGCACGTGTGGGACCTCGGGAGTGGGAATCATGTGTGAGTCTTGCATCTCATGTCAGCGCTCACCAGAGGCCGTCTACTAAAGAAGGGACGCTGAGCGAACAGTGTGCTGTGGCCGTGGGCCTCTGTCCTTAGGACAGCGAAACTTCCTCTCTTTTCTTCCCTCTTTCCTGCATGCTGACCCCCGTCTACCTTTGCTGAGGATACAGCAAAGGATGAAGGTCAGAGGCATCCTCCAGGGCTGGTCCCTGACATCACCAGGGCTGGCGGCCTCCAAACTGATGTCTTGTTCCTCTGGACATCCGGCCCTGGATATCGGCTTGAGAATGGGCAGAGTGGACCCTGCAGGACGAAGCCTATGGTCAGGACAGCGCCTTATGGCCAGGACAGCCTCAAGCCACTTCTGGTCATTTTCTGCCGTGACTCCTCCGCACCGACAGAGGGCGAAAGAGGCAGATAGCGGGAGGCTCTCAGGGCGCGCCGTGCCCAACGTCCTGCTCTAAAGGGGCGCAGGGCCAGGCGTTTAACCCCCGAGGCGGACCCTGGAGCCCGGTCTCTTCTGGGAGGTCTCAGTTTCCCACCCTGAACACGGGGCCCCTTCCTGAGCTCTGAGGTCTGAGCTCCTAAGACAAGGCGAGCCTTTGGTGAAGTGCAGTGTAGTGCGGGTGAGGTCTCCATGCAAAACGGGAATGAGATCTCCATGCAAGGCGAGGTCTCGGTCCAGCGCGAATAATATCGGAGGTCGCCTTTCACCCCCTCACAAGCGGGTCTCCGTCCTCCACGCCTCCCCCTGAGTCCACCCACCGCCCCATCTGAGCCTGGATCTGGACTCAAAGGCTTTCCGTTTGTGGCCAAAGAGCTTAACTCAAACGCATAATTAAAGGCAGGGATGCGGTTTTTGCTGGCGGTGAGTCCCTCACAAGCATGCAGGCGCCCCGCCTCCGCGTCTGACCCGTGGGGTGGGGCTGGACCAGGGCCCCCACCCCAGGAGGAGCCAGTGTGGCTGCAGGAAGACCTGGGATCCAGGCCCTCAGCCCCCCAGTCCTTCTTACTCAGGACCCTTAGGGGCCCCTTGACACCCACCCGGCTGCATTAAACTCCTTCTTGGGCCTCTGAGCCCCCAGCCCTTTCACGAGGAGACCCTCAGGAAAAACCGCGCTGCTACCTGAGCCAGTAGAAACCTGGGCCTTTAACCCCGGACCTCTGCATACATCAGGTGACCTGTTCTTTCTCCCTCCCCGTGTTTGATTCCGAATGAAACCAGACCGAGCCAGAAGGATGTTAGGGAAGTCCAGCCCTCCATAAGAGCTTTTATCCACAGTAGTTATTTGAATGCTTATTTTGAGACTGTTTTTAATAGCAAATTTTACAAAAAGCTCTCATTTCTTGGTGTCCCTGCCTGGTTTGTTGGTGGCCCAAGTCCCGGTATGCAGGGTCTCTTAGGAACTCATGCCCCGGCAGGGTTGTTACTCAGGACTACTGGGAGCCACATCAGTGCTTTGCATCCTGACTTTCTGCTCCTGGAGTTCCCCTAAGGGAGCCCTTGAACTTCCCAGGGAGGGGGAGTCAGGAGCGCTGGGCCTTCCCTCCAGCCCATCCCAGAGTCAAGATCCTGGCTTGTAGCCCATCGCAGCCCTAGGGCCAGGAGGATGCAGAGGCGTCCGGGGGGCCTCCAGGGATGCTCCCATAGCCGTCCCCACAGCCACTGGGTCTGAGGCCAGGCCAGGCTGCCCTCTCCCTCCCCACCCCCAATGAGCAGCTACTGCTGGGAAATCCTTCTGACTCCCAGCTCCTTCCCTTCTGGCCTGAACACAGGTGGCCCAGTCTCTTCCTTGGGCCAGAGCAGAAGGCAGACTCACTTAGGCCACAGATGCAGGGCAGGGGCAGGGTGGGCCAGGGGGGCCTGGTAGGGGAGGGGGCCAGACATCGTTTCTAGGTCTTGGAGGCAGATGGCTGGGACCTGGGTCTGCTATTTCCTAGGAAACAATGGGAAACTGGCTGTGTTGACGGCTGAATCATCCGTGGGTTGTGTGGTTTCTGGCGTGGGGCCTGTGCTATGGCTGTGGGAACATGTGCCCTGGGTTCTAGGCGATTGAGTGAGGGCTCTGTAGAGAAGTATTTCGAGAAGCTCTCCTCATTGTCTGTTCACACCCAGAACCTATGACTGAGGGGCTCGCCAGGGGGTGGGGGTGGGGGGTGGGGGGTAGGAGTAGGGGTGGGGCGGGGGTGGGGGCCTAGGCAGCTCTGGGACCTCTGCCTTACACCTGGATTGTATGCATCTGGTCTGTCCTGTGCTCCAGCCCCACCCAGTGGGACACTGTTAGCCCCACAGTGAAGTGAGGGGCTCCCAGTTGAGAACAAAGCCCACACTCTTGTCCTGGCCTTGTAGGGGCCAAAGCAGCTCGCCTGGGCTCTCTCCTGTTGCTTCTTCTATTCTAAGCCCTTCCTTCATTCCACTGTCCTCAGCTGTAAGAAACATACTCTCTGAGTCACTCTTCTCTCTAGGACTCCATGACCTGACCCCCTTCCACCTTCTCTAGGGATCCTAGTGCAGGATCCCTCTGTGCCTCCTTTGACCTTGGAGTGTAGCAGACAGTTACCCTGGGAGCTCCCCT